GGGCTTACGCAGGCCTAGTCCTCGTCAGCCTTGCTTTGGTTCGACCTGATCCAGCATGGCTCGTCCGACATTCTGACTTCCATCCATTAAAATCAGTAACGGAGCTCTACAGAGTTGGACAGCTGTATCTTGAATCCAGCTCCCAGCCTCCGTTTTGGTCCAGGAGGAAAACCAGTGATGGTTCCTCAAGGTTCTCTCGCCGACCTAGAGATTTGGGGGGAATTAGATCTTTGTCGGAACCTTACTGTCCACCATACTGGCCCATCTCAGAAAGCTGCAACGTAGTTCTTGGCAGATTTCTAAATGTGTCAGAGGACACATTTATTATTATTATTGTTATTATTATTATTATTATTATTAGACAGCTTATTTGCCGCCCCCTTCTCATAAGCCTCAGGGTGGCTTACAATCATTAAAATCCCACATATAAATACAAAAAACCCCCCCAAACAAACGAGGGCAAGAAAACATGCGTGCGGATGCATATCAAAGTACACGCTTGCATATGTATGATGTACGGAATTTTAAAATTGGCAACCCGGTGCAGAAGTTGAATAGATTGTGAGCTAAAAGGCAGTGATGTGCCTGGAGTGAAAATAGACCGATTTGGGCTATCTAATTTCAGTCCCTCTTTTCCACACAGCTGCATTTGGCCATCATGGTTGAGTTGAGAAAAATATGTCAAATCTCAACTGGAATGTGGGATTTCTATTCTATTTTAAGCATTTGTATTCACTAAATTAGCTATCCCAAGAATCTGCATTTCCCCAAGCGCTTTTTTGAGGCAGCTCAATGCCCTGCAGGCATTTTGGACTTCAGTGCCCATCAGGCACAGCCAGCGGGGTCAAGGATCAGGAATGCTGGGAGATAAGGTCCAAAAGTCTGGAGGTCACCAGTTGAGAAAGGAGGGTTTTGGGATATCAGAGGAAAATAGGATATAAATGCAGTGTGATAACCACGATCAGTTTATGATAAGAAACCTCAGTCGATCGTCATAGTTTGAATTTGGAAAAAAGGCTTTAATTTTTACTTGCTTAAAATAATCCTTCAGTGTATTCCCAATGGTTGGATTCAGGAATTTCTGAAGGAATGTGGATGCAAGAGGTACGGAACTTGGCAAGCCGATACTTACAATGGCTCGGGACACGGCCCAGCCTTGCTAACATATTCTGCTATTTGGGATCACAGTGCCCGTCCACTCCAGCCGTCATCTGGAGGGCATCGGACTGGCCGATGTGGAGATTTTCTCGCAAACTAAACGGGCAATTAACATCTAAACAAGAAAGTGCCAGCAGCGTTGATGCCTCTCCTGTTCTTTTCCTAATTGTTTTTCTTTCCAAACCCAAGCCTTTCGCAAAGAGCGGAGGATGAATGTACAGATTCTAGCAAGCTGTTCGTTGCTGCCTCTCCCTACTTGGCGAGAGCAGGCTGGGAGCCCCACAGTGCCCAGCTGGGGAGCTGCCCAGCATTCCTGCTTGCAGCCATGCCCAGCAACCCAAAGCAAATACATGCGAAAGCGGCAGCGCTGGCGTCGTCTTGCTTGTGTGTGTGGCACACAATGCAAGACGGACACACAGCTGCTGCACTAAAGGGCGGGGAATACACAGGCAGTGTGAGTCCGAATTCTGTAGAACGGCAGGTGGGAAACACGGTAAACCGGTGAGGTGTGCTGTGTAAACAGAGGGACCTTTTTGCAGACTGGAGCAGAAATATCTGACCTTGAAACCTTAGAACATGAGCACGTGCATGAGGGCTCGCTGATCACCCACCCATGGAACGTTTTGGATAGGAAAGGGCCCTCCCCATCTCCCCCTGCCTCAGCATTTTAACTGGGGTGTCAGGAATTAACCCCGGACATCCCCGAAACTATTTGATTTTGCAGGTTATCTGACGCATTTTGGTCTGTTGTGCATCGCTTGACACAATCGGAATTTGCCTTTGCAATTATTGGCAGAAATTCACAGCTGCTCACATCCACCCCCCCGAAGACATGCAGGGAGCATGATGTCTAATGGGGCAGGATGAAAAGCAAAATAAAAACAAAACAGAAATAATAAATAAACGCACAGGGACCCTCGACATAGGCAAACACCCCCAAATGTATATTTTTGCACTTTCGTCAGGGGTGGGGGATGGCAGATTTTCATTTCAAGTCTGTATTTTCCTGTGTCTAATTATTCCTAGCAATTAGAGTAAAGAAAAGAAATCGGGCCACGTAATCGGTGCAACTTGGGAAAAGCAGCTGCACTGCAGGCCACATGGGTGGATTCTGCCTCCCTTGCCTCCATGGGGGGTTCTCTGGCATCTCTTGGGTTTATCCCAGACCCCATCTGCATGAAGTCTACCCATGGCCTCACTCCGACACCTCGCTCTGCAAGGGCTCTCTGCTCCCCTGCAGAAGAAGTATACCGAAGAAGCTTCCTTTTCTTTAAGTTTACATTTTTGCAAAGGAGGAGGCAAATTGGGGAATTTACCAAAATTTTGGGAGAAAATGGTTCCCATTCACATGCAGGCTTGCAAGGAGAGATTTGGAATGTTCACACAGCTCTGCTTGTATTGTGTATCTCTTGGTTGCCTGCAACCTGCAGGAACTGATTTAATCTAGATAATCAACACCACACTACCTCCCAAATCTCCTTTGCTGCTAACTGCTTGAGCCCTGGTCTCAGCCTTTATTTTATTTTATTTTATTTTAAAATTTATATATTGTAGCGATAGCCCCACATGGGACTCCTTTTGGCTTCCAGTTGTTATTGGACTACCATTATCCCCAGCTGTCATGGGACCATAGCGGTTGGGCGTAATGGAAATTATGGATCCACCATCTTCAACCCAGCATGCAAGGAGGTGCCAGGAATCTGGAGAAATGGAAGGTTTTGCGATTCACTGTGGATTCTCAATTGCGCATCCTCATACGCTGTACAGTAAGCTGTGGGAGAAGAGCGTTCGTTACCAGAAGTGGTCTTGGAACCAAGTAGTTTTGGAAGCCAGAGGCAAAGATGGTGTCACTCGTTGGAAACCAACGAATACGGGTTGCCATGCATTAATCTCCACGTCTAAACTTGTTTCAAGTCATGCCAAGGAAAATGCTGCATTCAACAAAGTGACGCAGGAGATCGATTTGGGGGCTGATTGTGAGAGATGGTAGCCATGGATTGATGCCTCCTCGTAGGGAAAAAAAGAGAGATGTATGGTTTAATTGAATTTTTGGCAGGAAGTTAGTTTTCTGAGCTTTTTATAAAACAAATGCACGTGTCTGCCAAGCTATTTATCTTGTTATTAAAATACCAGATGGCCAAAATAGGACTGCCGTTATCGCCGTTTACAGGGAAGGAGGTCGACTCCAGTCCATCAGCTGACATCTCTTTCCATCAGATGCACAATGAGCCACATTTCTGCTTGGTCCATGCGCGAGGGCTGGTCGGGGGGCTAACGATCCCATCTTGGAGGAGCAAGCAGTATTTAGATCAGCGTCTTTGGACAATGGATAATGCCCGCACTTGTGCCCATCAGATTAACAAATAGGAGAAAGCCAGAAGAAGAGGTTACTTGTACCTCCACCAGCTGAAAGGGTCTTTCATTCTACGCGGAGGAGAAGACGACATTCTAGGCAGAGCCTCAATCAGCAGTCTTTGAGGTCATTTGTGCTGGGTTAGAAATGTGCTTGCATTTGGAGGCTGGAAAGGCCTCCTCTGTTAGATGATCTGTATTTATGCAAAAACGGGCTTAAACATGGGTGCCTACTTTGGCTCCCTTTCAGTTTAATTTTGATCATGTTGAGGCCGTTCCTGAGATTCGGGAACGACCCCATCCACATCTTATCGATGCCTCCAGCTGAAGCTGGTATCCCCCCGCCCCCTTTTTTAGATTCTGTTGTGATGAATATTTTTCCTTTCCTTCCATTCTCTTCTCAAGGCTTTAGCCAAGTCTTGCCACGGACACATCCCCCCTTGGTCTGCCTTTGCGTGGCGAGAGAAGCTTTGAGTGCCCTGAGCCGTCTTCAGGGGACCAGGCCGAGTTGTCTGCCGCTTTCTGGAAGCTTGATAATGATCTGAAGCTAGCTGGTGTCTCTGAGAGCCGGTTGCTTGCCTGGTCTCCGTGCTGCCTGTTGTTGCCGTTCTCGCTTTGCATTCACGCCCCACCTTTTCTTCCTCTTGCACGGAATCCAAAGTGGCTTTCCAAGTTCTCCTCCTCTCTGTCCTCACAACAGCCAGCCTGTGGGGCAGGTCAGGCAGAGAATCTGTGACTGGCCCAGAGCCACCCTCTGAGTGCCGTGGCTGAGTGGGGGCTAGAGCCCAGATCTTCGGGGTAGCACCCCCAACCACCGGATCGCACTTGGCGAGGAGGCTGGCTGGAACAGGGGGCGCCCCACTGGAAGCTCCAACCCACTGGACGCTTGCATGGGCTGGCTGGGAAAGGGCCAGCCTGGCTGTTAGGTAGAGTGCCTCAGGCCGCAGGTGCCAGGAACCCGGAGCTGGGGGAGAGAGCTGCATGCGGTGCTGCCTTGCCTCATGCCCCCTAAGCCAGCCTGGGCCTCTCAGGCGCGGAAGAGGACAGGCAGGCAGGCTGCACAGCGCCCCAGACCAGCTTGCCATGCGTGGGAGGAGCTTGCGTGACCCCCCCCCCCGGCATGTGGGGGTCGCGACTGTGGGTGTGGCACCGCTACGATATTGCCTCTGCCCTTGCTTTTATTTTTGTTGGTGGTGTTCCTTTCTCTGGGCAATGTTGGATCCCTTTGCAGTGTATGTTGAATTTGGGGCTTGCTGGAAAGGGGAAATGCCCATTCTTTGACAGCCATCAGCACGGACGAAGGAATGGCTTCCCTCGGCAGCTTTTCTGGATTGCCGTGCTGAGCTTGAAAACGTCTTTATCTATTCATTGAAGGCTTTAATGTACCATATTTGTGTATCTTGTATTTGCCACCTGGTTGTCCATGTACTCTCCTGTTTTGTAACACGGGGTTTTCCTTTTCCCCCCATCCCCCTTCTTCCTTCTTTCAGGGCTTTCCTGGTGATTTTGGGGAACGCGGACCTCCAGGCATGGATGGCAACCCAGTAAGTTGGCAAGAATTCTCTTTGGCTTTGAGCAGACATCGCTTCTTTAGGGCCCGAGAGGAGACGGTCTCTTTGCGGATGGGACTGGCCCCACTTGGTGCGTTAAGTTCCTCTCATTCCCATCTCTTTTATCAAAAGCTAAATGCTTTAGTGAAATGTGTAGCAGGCGAAACAAATCCGTGAGGTCCAACTGCCTTCGCTTTCTTCCTCTCCGTTTCTGTTCTGCTCTAGTTCTGATGAGAATAAGTCTAACCCAACTCTGATGCTGGGAACGATTGAGGGCCAAAGGAGAAGGGGACGGCAGAGGATGAGGTGGCTGGACGGAGTCACTGGGAAGGAGGATGTGGGCTTGGGTGGACTCCAGCAGATGGTGGAGGACAGGAGAGCCTGGAGGAAGGTTGTCCATGGGGTCATGATGGGTCGGGCATGACTTTGCGACTAAGCAACAGCAAAGGCTAACCCTGACACAAGGGTCTGGTGAGACTGGGTGTATCATCAAAAGCCACCACTGCAGCTTTCAGACAAAATGCGCCTAGAGCGTACCACCATGTCGATTTCCCCCCATCTCCCCATGGTAGGAGATCCCTGCATGTGCCAATCAGGCAGGTCTGGGATTCCAAGAAGCAGCGAAAGAAGCAGTAGAAAGGCGAGGCGAGGTGCTGAGAGAGCAGCAGAGGGTAAAGGTGAAGAGAGGTAGGGCATGCCGGTTCCGGAAGAGGGATATAGTCCTGCATGACAGAGATGGTGCTTCAGGTGTAGGTTCTTCTGTTCTTCAGTGGCCAGCACCTTCCCTCTTGTGCCACCAGCATTCTGGACTTCAGGCGCCTTCATGGAATCTGCATGGAACCCATTGATGGCCCTGCTTCAGTCCTGCTGGTTGGTGTCCTTCAGCCAAGGGGACATGCCAGGCCCTGTAAAGTGTTGCAGCCAAGCCAGCTTTTCAGCATGGGCGGCTGCCTGTTCACCTGTGTGCTATGCTTACCTTACCCTCCTGCTGCTAGCCACTCCTTCGGATCGGGACCCTTGCCCGCCATTGCCCGGTCACCTCCTCCCGCCTGAACAGCTTTTGCTACTGCTTTGAGGCTGACGCAACTGCCTGTCTCTGGCTCTTCCCCTTCCTTTGGCCCCTGGACAGCCCGATCCTGCTGCTTGTCCGTGGTCAAGTCTGCCGGCCTTGGGATCCTCCTCCACACACACCTAGCTGCAGCCGATCCCATTAGAGGTGGCCAAAGCCCAGCAAGAAGGAGCAGGACGAGGCAGAAAAGACCCCAAGATCCCCAGATGGCAGCATGAAGAAGCAAGCCCGATCTCCTGGTGGACAGGCCAGCCCCAAACCTTCTGTTGCCTGAGTCCAGGGAGTAAATGGCACCCACCCCTATTCCACTGCAGACGCCAACTGGGCTGGCTGTGGGATCCTACTGTGGGGCCATGCGTGGAACGTGGTGCAGCAGGACAGCTGAATGTGGACAGGGCAGAACTTCTGGCCCTGGTCCCCATCTCCACCCGAGGCGACGGCTTCACTCCGCCTCTTGGTAGGGCTGGCCCTGCCTTGGCCTGCTCTGTTGAGACACCCAGGGATGCTTGGGGGCCTTCCCCTTCTCCCAGGTTGCAAAGATTCGGTTTGCCACACTTCGGCGCAGGAAGATCCTTTGGTCCCCACCCAACACCTGCGCGTGCGTCTTGTGCCGGGGCCTGCCTGGCACCACGTGCCGTATTTCCTGTGTGGTTCGGTTTGCGAAGGAGACGCTCCCTGGGCATCCTCATGGGTACGCCCCCTCCTTTCCTCCTCTTGCCTTCCTCCTAAATAAGCACCGTCCAGCTGAATTGCTTCCAGGGCAATTTGCAGACAAGTGTGCTTGGCTTGAGTAGCCGAGGGTTGATGGAAACGGAAATTATGAGGGAGGTCAGAATGGAAGTGTCCAGTGGGGAGGTGGAGGCAGAGGACAAAGCGAAGGGTCAGAGTGAGTCAGAGAAAAAAGAGCTGAGGAAAAGTCTTGGCGATCTTCCAGCGTGAAGAGGAAACTGTAATAGTCCCTTCCTGTTCCAGATGGCCAATGGGTGGCTGAGTCCCACCCCGTCCAGGGTCGTGTCCCACGGTGCATTGCTCCTGGCTTGCCGCATGGGACAAGGGCTTCTTGCTTCTAAACCTGACAGCTCCTGCAACGGGCTGGCTCCAGGAATCCGTGGCAAGATGTCCTCAAGGGACACTGTGTTGGCCTTCCAGGTTTAGCTCCATACTTTGCTTGAGGCAGAATAACAAAGAGCAGAATGTCATTGCTTTTCACACAGTCCTAGAACATATGGAAGTAGTCACTGTATGGTTGTCCAACCTGCCAACTTTTGTCCTGGGTTAAACATGAGAGTGGTTTATTTTATAGGAGGTTAAATACTATTAGGACTTTAAATAGGTAAAGGGAGTTGATGCTAAGCTGTTCCAGATGGACCATTTAGCATCTTGTCAGTAAAGCATCCCAGGCTTTTGGAGCGTCTCCATCCAATCACCTGTTTTCCAAGTTTGCTCTTCGGTTGTTCACCTCGAACTCTTCCAAAATAATTAACTCAACAAGGAGTTTAGGCCACCTTCTTTGGCAGCCTTTTCTGGGATAACTTGGAATCCAACCTCCTGTGATATTAATTCTCCAGCAGAGCAAACTGTTTGTGTTAATATGTCCGCTCGCCCCCACTTCACGGCCCGTAGCGTGCGGAATGGAAATGGAATGCCTCCATTCACCTGAAGAAAAGCTTGGCGAGGTCCAAGAAAGAGTCACAGACAGAGCAAATTTCGGCAAGGGACATGCACGGAACAGATTCTGAGCTTGCCGGCAGGAATGTATACCAAAAGCACAGTGGCATTTCAAGTTTCTGTCCGGCAACTCCATTCCAGAGGTTGAATGTCACTGCGGGCTCTTGCGCCTTTCTTGGTCGCTGAAAGTGCACGGTTCGTGATATCCTTGCATGCTCGCTTGCTCTCTCTCTCTCTCGCTCTCTGTCAGGATCATGGGAATTGCTTTGGGAACTGGATTTTATTTCCCACCCTTTTGATAAAAGAGAGTTCTGTGGCCGCCCCCTCAGTTTTCACACAGCTCTCCCGGAGCTTAATACGCCGTGAGGCTGCGCGCAAGAGGATGCCTTAGTTAGAGGCACAATGATTGGATGTGCTCCTCTGAAACATTTATTTCAGCACCGGGAATTTCGTGGAGGACTCCCTGGGTCTATTTTGCCCCCCGCCCCCCCATCATTCCTGTAAGCTGCATTTCTGCAGCTGTTGTTTCATGCAGTTCTGTAGGGTATCCATAACGGTGGCTCCATTTGGCAGTCAAGGGCAGGACAGGTCAAAGCTAGTTTGCTCTCAAGCCACATCTGGCCGTTTTATTGCCCGGCAGAAGCTACCACCCTCTCGTGGGTGAGGGTAGTTACGCGATCCATCTCGGCAGTGAGGCAGAAGTAGCCAAAACTCCCTGGACCGTCGGGGGAGATTAAAACCCTTAAAATACAATATAGCGACACAATGTAAAATAATTTAACTAGAACAACATGGAATGACTCTAGCCATGAAGACCTGTGCAAAATGTTACTGCTCTCACAAGCCTGGGGGTGGGGGCAGGTCTGAACTTCTGCCAAGAAGTTGACAGCGTTGCTGCCAGGTAGGCATGGCTAAGAAGCTGGTTTTTATTCTCAAAGCGTGTCTACAAACCCCGATCAGAGTCCCAAGTGTGGTTGCGAGGACAAGTGCCTTCCTGCCAAAAGTGCCCACAAATTGCCCGACGCATCCTTGTGCTCGGCTTGCTCTGCTTTTGACTTCCCCTTCTCAATTTCCCCTTGTCGGCTGAATCAGCCCTGCATTTAGGCTGTAGGAATGTGCAAAAGTCACCCAGATTCCATGCGAAGAGAACGATGTTAGGAAAACCCTCACACTCTCAAGCGTTGCTCAGCACCAGATGCGTCTCAGGGGGCGACCATCCCGTCACCGAGAGGCCACCCCGAGAAGGCCTTCTGCCTCGGAGCCCTCCTCCAAGCACCCCTCGGAGGGAGTCCTCTGACGCCGAAGCCCCTGCTGCCCGCTGGGTTTTCGGCTGGGTTGGAGCACAGTGCCATGGAAAAGGCCGGCGGCCATTCCGTTTGGAGAGGCATGGGATGAACGCTTCATGCCGGGCTGCTCGGCTGCGCACAACGGAGGGGAAAAAGAAAAGGATTGGTGCACTTCTCCCCTCCCCTCACCCCACCCGACCCGCTGCTTTCTTGCCTGTCTGCTCCCTCCCGCTGCTTCCGCTCCCTCTCCAGGCCGCACAGAGGTCTCCTTCTTCCCCCCGCCGCTTCCTGGGAAGGGAAGCCGGCCTCGCTCGTGGAGAAGAACTGCAGCTTTGTGTCCCTGTGAGGAGCTCCTGCTCCGTTCCATTCGCTCGCTCGTCGAAGGTGGACATGCTGAATTGCCCGGCGAGGGCGGGGTGGCGCTCGCTCGCCCCTTCGCCTCGAGCCCTCGCTTTCCAAGCCCCCTCCATTGGTCAGCAGAGAGCCCCCCCTAACCGTGTTGGTCTTTCTTTCCCTTTCAGGGGGACATGGGAGCGTTGGGTCCTCCTGGAGTTCACGGGCTCATCGTAAGTACGGAGAAGTCGGGCAGGCGGTTCATCTTGGGCTCGAGCTCTTGGAGGTGCTGAATGCTTTCCAAGGCGCTGCTCTAACCACACACAGGAGGGCTTGTGTTGCTTTAGCCCCTGCGTCCGGGAGGGACACGCAAAGGGGGTGGGGGGTGGGGAAGCGGGACGTGGAAACACTCCAGAACTGCAGAAAAGCATTGCAGAATCGCCCTTCTGTCGCCGGAGAGCAAAGCGTGGCCTGTGCTTTTAAAGACTGGCGGATGGCACAACCAGACCCTCTCTGGTGAAGAGGGCGGAGAATTTTGTCCGGTGTGTAAGAACTTACCAAGATCCACATGTCTTTTCTTGCATGGGGTGGAAGTGTGAGAACTGGTGTCACACTGGGAGGCAGCAGCCCTGTGACCCCTGGGCAAGCACCACTTCTGAAATTGGAGAGAGGAGAAGATGGATGAGGCTGTGATAGGAGCTATTTGGAGTCACCTCCATCTTCCTTCTCCAAAGTGCCCCTGCTAGACTGGCTGAAAATAATGAAATGAAAATAAAGTGCAAATACAGAAGGTTGGAGAATTTCTCCCGCATCCCTGTGCAGGTGAAGCAGGACCTAAAAACCCTTTGGGCACTTTTGAGTTCAGGGGTTTCCGAGGGGCCAGGGTGCAGCCCCCAGGCCCGAGTCCTGCAGGATGGAAGAGCCATGATCTGCTATTCGAAAAGGACCAAGGGTCTCAAACAAGGAAGGAAAAGGCAGCCAAAGGTGGGACTTTCTGTTTGAAAGAAAAGATGAGGAGGTGCCTCTGTGATGTGGAGAGAGCAACATTTTCCCGCCTGCCTCGTAACAGTCAAACTTGAAGCCTTCCAGTGAAGCTGAAGCAGCAGGATGTTTGAGATGGAGAAAAGGACCAGGATGACCTCATGGGCCCAGGGCAGAAGGTTGGATGACCTCTGGGTGATTTGAAGCTCAGCCAGGATTTCTGACTCACTCCAAAGGGTTCTCCCTCTCCTCTTCAAAATTAAGTTCTTGAGGTGGAAGGAAGCCAAGGGAGGAAAACTTGGGTTGCTTCCAACTTGAAGGAGTGGATGACTCTGTTATGTCTTGCTTCCTCCTACGTCTGAATGCCTTTCCATCCTGTTTATGAAGAAACATGTAAATAAACAGCAGACTGAACTTAGCAATAGACCATTCACTGTGGCCAAATTCCCTGGGTGCAGCTTGGAGAAGGTGCTGTATATGACTGGCAGGGGTCAACTAAAGACCAAGAGCCCATTGTAAAGAAGACGGGGACAACCCCGGCTGAACAGCATAAATAGGGTTGAATATTCCAGGATTAAAAGTGACTTAAAAAAAGAACTAGGTTCTTTGAAGACCTTACTCAGAAGACCTTACTTGAAGACCTTACTCCACATTTCATAGAATCACAGAACAGTGGAGTTGGAAGGGGCCATGAAGGCCATCGAGTCCAACCCCCTGCTGTGGCAGGACACCACGACTCACCATCCCACTTCAGTTCAATTTGAAAAGCAAATGTTCCAACAACTCCTTCCTGTTCATGCCAGGACTTGTGATTTTGGTAAGCTCTTATCCCGAGGCAAAGTAAACACCATGTCCCCCCATCCATGGAGCACAACAGATCCAGTGGGCATCCCTTAAAGCCGTTTCCTCCGTCTGGTGCCTCCAGAAGGCAGGTGAGGTCCCAAATCTGTAGGAGCCACCAAGGTGGGAAGGCTGACTTGAAAGCTGAGATGTTGAACCAGTCTTGGCCTGAGGGGGCTGCGGTCCGTCTCCAGGACAACCTTGCAGTGATGGGTGGACTCAGATGCAAAGGGGGGCAAAGCCAAAAGCTGTGGAAACGCAGCCAAGCTACAGGCCTGGTTCATTTTAAAGCGCTTGCTGCCAGAAGTTCAGCCTTTCAGGAGCACTCTGAACCTCTTACACTAGGGTAGAAATCATGCAAAACTTGGAGGGCCACTGCAACGTGAGCAGAGGACATGTGGCCATCCAGCCAGCCCCAGAGAGCTGAATGGTGTTGATTAGGAGAAATGCACATGGAAATCCATTCGCATTGCCACACACATCTTCGAACTGACGTAGAAACTGGAGAGAACAAACTTAACGAGGAGTGGGTGGGAAACAGAGTAGAATTGAAGCTGACAGTTACATCCATCCCTAGTCAGCAAACAAGCAGTTACTCTTAATGTTGCAAAAGATCAAATACTCCAGTGCATGCAGACATCTGGCTAAAACACATTGTTCCAGGTTCCCAGGGTTTCCCAATGGAATGGTTATTTTTGACAGCTCCTCTGTTATCCCCTCCCCTGCTCTCACAAGTTAGGATCATCTGGTGAAGGATCGTTTTAGGGTTTGTCTCCTAAAATGAACAGGCCCAAAATAGGGGATCAGTTATGGAAAACACGAGCCTACATAACTCTGCGACTTTATTTCCTTGTTATGTTTATAGGATTTCTTTGTTCCCTTCCCCAACTAATGGCCAAGCAGCAACAGTAGACTAACAGGCTTCGAGAGCTTTCTGAGAAAGTCAGCTGCCTCATCCGCTTCCCATCCTCAAGTTACCTTCTCTTGCACTTCCTCTCTCTTTCCAGGGTGATATGGGCGCTGTTGGACCGCTAGGTTTTCCAGGACCAAAAGGATTAAAGGTGAGCGCCAAGATTCAAGGTGGGGCTTCGGCCTGGCAGTTCAGAACGTGCGCTCTGCATGTGTCGGTTTTCCTCTTCGGTTCGGCTGGGTGGGAGGACTTTAGATCTCTGGCTGTTGATGCTTCAGCCGCCAGAAGCATGTGCCTCCCGCCAAGCAAGTAGCAGGTCTGAGGAAAGAAAGGGCTTCGGAGGCACAGTCCTCTGGGAAGCCCGAAGCCTGGATTCGGCCCTGAGGTTTGGCAGCACCAGTCTGTACCGCCTTAGCCACAACTCTCCAGGGATGTAGTTGGAGGCCTTCACCAGGACGACCTGGAGATGCCAGCAATCGAACCCTGGACCCTTGGCATGAAAAACCTGGGTTCTACAACACAGTTATTGTCCATCTTAAAAAAAAGAGGTTCTAGTCCTCAAGAATCTCAGGAAAGGGCCATATTTTTTATTTATTTGACTTACATTCCAACGGGCTCTCTGAGCAGATTGCAGGAAAAGAACAGTGAGGGCAAAGTATAAATATTGAATAGCAACGATGAAACAAATAACCCCACGAATGCATAGCACTATACAACAATAACAACAACAGCAGTTAATGCATATACATGTTTAGTAGCGTGCAGTAACAATATGCAATAAGAGAAGGCAAATATAGGTAGCTGTTTTACCTCGAATTGCGTTGATTCACCTAATCCAGTAGCGATGCCTGGACAGACCAGTGGCCCGTCTCTCTGGGCTTTGTCAGATCCTTTCCCAGCATCGCTTGGTGGTGCCGTGGTTGGAGTTGGAGAGCTCTGGCCATTCCTCCCAGCACCGACGGTTCTGCACAGAAGCACCTCTCCCAGGAAATGCCTGGAAGGAAGCATCGGTCGCCACCCAAACCCCTTTTTAACTGGAAATGCTGTCTTGGACCCGTGACTTTCCATGTGCAAAGCTCAGAAAGGAGACATCCCAGTAACAAGTCAATCTTAGAGGAGCACCTGTTGACTTCAGGTTGACTGGCTGATGGGTGTGCCTAGATGTACATCACTGCAGATTCCTCAAGCAACAGTTCCTGGAAAGGGGGGGGGGAGCATTTTCTGCTGGGGGTCATCTCCATTTCTCCTCTTTGCTCCACATTGGGTGCTCAGAAACCTCCAAATCCAGCACCCATGCACCATCAATGGGTTAGCGCTCATAACCCAATTAGCTGACTCACCGTTGCAGCTTTAGATTTTCACTCTACTTTTTGGGAAGGTCGCTCATGAAGTAAAGAGCCAGGGTGGGGTGGTGGGACTGGGCCCAACTCAGCCAGTCTGTGTTCTAGTCCCCACTCAGCCGTGGAGCCAACTGGGTGCTTTTGGGTCCCTCCCAGACTCTCAGCCCAACCTACCTCGCAGGGTTGCTGTGAGAATAAGAATGAAAGGAGCAGGAGAATTATGGAACTCGCCTTGAGTTCTTCAGAAAGGAAGAAGGATGGGATATAAATAGAATAAACAGTCCAGGAAGGACTGAGTGTGTTCAGTGGCCCTTGAATGGTGGCAAACAGTGTCGGAGGGGAGACGGAATGGAGTCTTAGAGAGGAGGGTGTGGCTGGCAACATTTTGCTGAGGTTCCTGGTTTTGTTGTTACGGTTGCTGGAAAGACGGGCATGCAGCTAGTAAGAAGTTTGCTCTGATTTCTCTCTCTCTCTCTGTTAGGGGCTGATGGGAAATCCTGGAGAACATGGACTGAAAGGTGATAAGGTGATCTGAATATTCCCTTATTGCACTGTTCTTATTTCTTTGCATGCCAACCGGTCTCTTCACTCTGTGTGCTCTGTCCCCATTGGATGACCCTGCTTTGTGTCCCCTGCCCCGAACTCAGCACCAGCCTCAGCCCCTGTGTTTCTCTCCCGTGATGGACGTGTCGCATTTCTACCACGCATCATGGCCTGGGCTCTTTGGTGGCAAAAGCACGTTCTCCCTGCACAACGAGGAAGCCTGAAATTCACATGAACCAACTTTTTCTCTGTCCTGAGTTAGTTTTCCTGAGTTTGCTCCCTTGGGCTTTGCTCCGTAAGCAGAACTTGGCCTCCCACACCTTGCCCACGTGTCCTTTCCTCTCCCCCCTGGAAATTCTGCTTTTCAGCTGTGGAACGCGCTTACGGAACTTCTTCCTAAGGCGATTTGTCTACATCCCCACTGGCAAATGCTCAAAGGAAGAGTTACCCTTGTAACTTCCATCCCCAAACAACAACATGACCCAGCCAGTACAACAGTAAAGTAACAGTATCAAGGTAAAACGATGTTGAACGTGAAGGCAGTTTTCAATGGGAAATGCCTGGTATCTTAATACGCAGAGTGAGGATGCTCAGTGGATCTCGCTTGGGCGAGCAGAGAGAGCCGTTTCCGTGGCTGCCACTGGTTGTGTGTACCAAAGGTGTTCTTGGGAGCCCACCAGAGACATAGGGAAGAAAGCGCTGCTTTGCGTCAACCGGTTCGAAGCCAGTTTGGTCCTTCAAGGTCAGCATCAGTGCTATGGACTGGGCCCAGAGTGTGACAGGCCAGCCCTGAAAAGAACAATGCGGGTGGCGTTGCTGTTCTGTCAGGGTGGATGTTCCATCCGGAGAGCCCGCTGCTTGCAGCTGTCCGGACCAGACAAGTCGGCCTGACCTGGGCGTTCTGACGGGCAGCAGGAATTGCTTCATGGCCTGGCAGAGTGAAGCCAGCTGTGAGAGAAGGCACTGTGTGTTTGCCTCTAGAGGAAGGTGATGCAGCTGGTGGGACCGTTAGTCGGTGGACAGGGCGGGCCGTGCGTGTGCTCAGGCGAAGGGGCAGCGTGGGGGAATTGTGGCTGAGATTTCAGAGCCTGTTTCCATCCTTCTGGCCTTTCCCCGCTTCTTTCCTTCCATTTTTGTGCTCTGGAATGCGGGGAGCACCTCGGCGTGTTCTTTGGCTCCAAACCAGCCGTGGCTGTGCATCCTGCCACCCGTGCCTGCCCTTTTGTCTGTATTCTTCTATTCTCGCGTTCTTTCGGACAAGGGGTGGTTGCCCAAGTTAGCACCTGCTGAGGGGGCCTGATGGTAGACCCATCAGGGAGACTGGACGGAGCAGCTTCTGGCTTGCTTGGATTTGGGCCAATTTGGCCCTGGCTAAGAAGACGAGCAGGCAGGCCACAGTGAGGCAGTGCCTGAGAGCACACAGAGGGCCTGTGCCCCAAGGCCACCCCCTCTCCAGCTTGGGACTCTTGTAGCACATGCCCCTTGGAGTCTTCCACCCCAGGGGTCCACGCCTTGGGTTTCCGCCCGGAGAAATCCACAGAGCTGGCTCTGAAAGAGCGAGTGGGAAAGCAGCAAGAGTGGAATCCGACTTTTTAAAGGCGAAAGGAGGCCGCATGCGAGGAGCCATCTGCAGCCCGTCGTGCTGGTTCCGCGGGAGCCCCGGCACAGCGATTCTAGCTGTCCCTCCGCTTGCCAAAAGTCGGCAACCTTTCTGAATTATTAACTCAGATCGTATGAGAGACGCTTCCCTGGACCTAACTTGTTCCATCTGCTGCTTCTTGCTGACTTGCAAAGGTCTGAGAGACGGAATTACGGGTTTTGAGGGCATCCCACATCCTGCCTGGCGTGGACTGAAGTCTTCCCCCTCCCCTCGGAGTGCTCCGAAGGATTGTTTTGGCGCGTCTGCACCGAGCCCTGCAGACGGGGGAAAGCTTTCACTGCTCTGCCAAAGAGCACCTCCAGTTCGTTTTCGCTGGCCTCCTCCAGAGGCTGTTCGAATTTCAGCCCCTGCCAGCCTCAATGAGCATACCCACCAGGCAGGCATGATGGTCATTGTAGTCCACCAGCACCTGTGAAAACACTGGGTGCCCATCCATGGAGTAGGTGGAACTCCGGCAGGTTAGGAAGGAGGGCTTCATGGAATCTGCCCGTGTTGGGCTACGCAACTAGAGCTTCCTAAGCTTGGGAAGGCAGGTCTAGGCTGTTTTTACTGGTGCTCTGTTTTGTTGTCATTTTCTTCTAGTCTTGGACAGTGCTCTGGGTGGCAACTTTATGATGTGTTCTGTTTTATAGATCCATTTGTTATTTGAAGTCCATCAATCAGAAGATGAATCTTACTGCCAGTTCTTGTGCAAGTGGGGCTCCCTTGTCCACTTGTATTGTGATTATTTTCTATCCAGACTGTAGCCAAAGTTCCCTGGGCAGTTTACCTCTTTAAGTCCCCCATCCAGATTTCAACCAGGCCTGACCCTGCTTAGCTTCCAAGATTAGTCAGGATCGGGCACTTCAGCCTACACTTGAAAACTTCCCAAGGGTGTCTGGATCTTTCGAAGGTCAGACTGGTTCAATTGCGCATGCCAAACACTTAATTTTCCCTCTGCCCTTGGCTTGAATGTGTGTTGTCTGGGGATGCACACCTGAAGGTGTGAATCAGCCACAGCTGAAAAGCATTGGGGTTGTGGGGAGGTCTGTGAACCCTGGATTGTGAAGGGACCCCGGAGGTCAACAAGTCCACCCCCAGCCATGCTTCACTGAGGAATCTTTTGCTGCAGCAGCTGTCCCCAGACGTCTTTCTCCCAAGCGGGTGCTCTGGGCTCTCTGCCATGATGGGTTGTGCTGCCCAGGTTCTGACACAATTGTGGTAAGCGGAGACCATAGAACAAACCTTGGTTTCCTACCATGGTTTGTGAGGTCAATGCTTACCCTGCTGAGCTACTATGACTGGGTTTGGATGACACGACAAACAGGGATTAAAACCCACCATGGCTTGTTGTGTTGTGCGAACCCAGCCAGTCTGCTGAATTGCTCTTAAGGGTTCCAATGTCAGTTTAAACTGTGAATGAGTAAAAGCAGAAGCAAAAGCTTCTAGCGGCAATGCTGGAAGACAGAACTGAGGGAAATGGTCTCTTCCTTGTATTTCCTCCCCTTCCACCCCATTTAAGGTTTTGGGGACAACCCGTCCACCAGGAACATCTTCCCCATGTGCCACACTTAAATGAGCAAGAGAAGCTCGTTTGCAGAACTCGCACTCATTTGTGGAGAGACGGCTCAGGATAAACATCATGGCAGATGGTGCCTTTGGTGGGTGGTTGTGGAAAAGGCCCGTCTACCTCAGCAAACTAGTCCTGATCTTTTGCCACCCTTCCTGCCTTGACAACTGCCAAAAACGACATGTCCTCAGCCCATTAAAACTGAGCACTTCCCATGAACCTGGGCATCTGCTTTGCCCTTGACATGACCAACTGCCCTAACTTTCTTTGCTGATGCCTATCTAGGGCGAACAGGGAGTGCCTGGTGTCCCAGGAGATGATGGATTTCAAGGGGACAAGGTAACCAGACTTCTTTTCCATCGATACTTGCCTAAAGATAACCCTGCTCCCTGCTCTTTTCCTTCCTGGAAAGAGGTGTTTGCACCAAGCTCCCCTCCTTTGAAACGGCTTCTTCCCACTTCTTAGTTTTTGAACTATATAAAACTCTCCTTCATGCCCTGCGCTTGTAAAAGCGATCTGCGTGCAAACAATTTGTAAGAGGTTTGGTATTTGGCAGGAGAGACACAGAACAGACCCTTGAGAAATCCATAGCTGCCTTCACAGCCTGGTGCCCTCCAGATGTATTGGGCCGGAGATGCCATCAACCCCAGAAGCTGGGGGAGATGGGAGATGACATCCCACACATATGGAAGGTGGATCTATGAGAGTGCATCAGGCTGGCTTCTACTGAACTGGCTTGCTGCATCTTGAACCGTTTTTGCTCTTGTACACAAATGCCATGGATACATACAGAGAAACTGAGACAGATCAGCTTTTTTTAAACTGGGTGGTAACCCCAGGAAAGAGAGTTTTGCACTGCTTTTCTTACAAGCCAGCTTCAGAAAGCCCTCAGCTTGCCTTCTCCCTGATGTGCTTTTTCTTCTTTGGTTTTATTATTACTACAAATAATTACTATTTTTAGCAGAGATTTCTGACCTAAAGCCATTCCCCTGCAGCCTGAAATGGTATTGTCCTGATTTGGGTTGGAGAGAAATAGATTTTTCGGCTGCATTGGAGATGCACAGATGCTGCCTTGTGCCAGATCACAGAGCCCTGAGGTTGATATGAGTTTAGTGTGGCTTCTCTGGCTTGTTGTGGAAATGTGAGATATTGTGTTATCCAAACCCAGCTACACGAACAAGCCATGGTTGGTTAACCACAAAACACCATGAAGAGAACCCACCGTCTGCTGTTGGGTTGCGAACTGTGGGTTCTTCACCATGGTTTGTCATCTCGGCTGGGTTCAGACAACACAGTCCACAGTTCCTGCAAGAATCCGCAGATCAAGAACAATCCACACTGAATCCCTGATTATGGTATATCGTGTTGTCCGAATTCAGTCATACTTGATTCACCAGATCCAAGACAGGCAAAAGGCCTCTCAAGTCCCAGAGAAAGCTTGCACACGTGCAGATGTGTCAACAATTTGCATTCGTCTTTGGCCTCACGTGAGCTTGTTGTGGAGTTGTGCCTTGCCTGGATTAGGGTCGACTAATTATGCTGCCAAGGCCACTTATGCAAACTCTCCTGGCACGTGCCTGTGAATGCAGTCCCCTGCTGCCCAGGTGGAGATGCCCTGGATCGAACCTGCGCCCTCACACTCCGAAGCACGTGCCCCGTGGCGGTGTTCACACAGCAGGACCAGCCACCCTGTGTGGTCACTGTTTTTTTTTTTTACCACAATCTCCCTGACAATCCAGTGTTTTCTTCTTCATCATGGTAGCCACCATCCCTGTTCAGTCCTGTGCCAGAAATTCATTCCCAAGGTGCATTGCTCCTTGCCCGTATCACATTCCTCTTCCTCATTGGTCCACCCCTGGAAGATGGATGCTGGATCAGTTCCTGAGGTTGCCGCACTCTCCAGGGGACTGATTCTCAGCCGCATACCAGGACCATGGAAACCATGATCCAGGGTCCAGGCAAAACAACCGACAAGCCAGGCAACAAACTGTTGCTTCTTATCATGGTTTCGAAAGACTCAGCCTACCATGGCGAAGGACTGCAACCGGGTTTAGTCGACGTGACAGAGCAACAATGGCAAAACCCAACCTGGCTTGTTGCGCTGTCTGGGCTCAGCCTCTTTCTATGGCCCTCAGACTCAAGGAGCCCTGGATGTATCTAAGCCCTGAACTGGCCCCCCGTTTATACTGCTGGGCCAACTATTCCCACTCTCGCACTGGATCCCGATGCTGCAGGGCAAACCTATGGCCGAAGCGACTCCCGCTGTCCAGTTTCCCGCCTCGCCCGTCCTAATTCAGCTGATCCTCTCCCCATTCATGTTCTGTCTTTCAGGGTAGCCAAGGCCTACCGGGGATGCCAGGTGCCCGAGGAAAGCCAGGGCCAGTTGTAAGTAGCCAGATTCGCTTCTGCCTTCCAGGCGTCCTTTCACGACCTTCCGCCAGAGCTAGGTGGCCACATGAGGCCCTCTAGATCCTGTCGGGCTCCAGATCCCATCAACCCCAGCCAGAATGGCCCATGGGCACGATGAGAGTCGCAGCCCAAAGCTCCAGTGGACAACTGGCTGTCCACCCCTTTGTTAGACTGGCAGACTGGAAGCTGGCAGGCCTGGGTACGGATCCTCATACTGCTAGGACCGCTCCCTCGGCCCGCGTCAGAGGAGGAAAAACCCCGCGGTCCCTTGGACACGCCAGGGTGATCCTTTGGGGATCTGGTATCCTGCATTACTGCCACCAGCGGCCTTCGCTCAGTCCTCGCTTCCCCAGCCCAGAGTCCGCCTGTAGCCGTGCAATCTCGTCCTGGAAAGATGAAGATCTAGAAGAGCAGGCACCTGGCCGGGCCTCCAGCATTTCCCCCCCGCTGCATTTCCTTCCTGCTCATTGCAGCTGCCTGAGTGGGCCGAGTGCACGGACATTGCAGAAAATTGCTGGAAATGGATGGATGGATGTATTTGTTTGTTTATTATGATATGTATAAGCTGCCACATCGTTCGAAAGACTGTCCAAGTAATGCACAGCAGACAAAAAATTAGAAATATAGCTCAAAACATTAAAAGCCACCGTTAAAATATTCTCTGCTTACATCTGATGCTTGCAGTCTGTTTTAGGAAGCTGGACAGGGCTAATCTCTTGCTAAGAAAATAGTCTTTCTCCTAAAATCTACCCACCAAACAAGAGCTTCTGTTCGCCCTCAGTCCAGATAAAAGCAATTTTTGAAGAATCCCCTTGCATGTAGCAAATGAGCAGCTCTCTGCCTCACCCTCTTTCTCCCAGGCTAGCTTTCTAGGTGCGGGGAGTCATTTCATTTTCTGTATAGCAGAATATTCAATTCAGTGAGCCCTTCCCTGAAGTCCAGTGTGATGCAGCCACAGCATGGATGGGTCACCTCAGCCTTACCTGTCTCCCCATATTTCTTTTTGTGTGCTTGGTTTCTTGCAGGGGAAGATCGGCGACAAAGGCCCCATTGGAATTCCGGGACCCCCTGGTCCTGAGGTAGGTTCTGGGCTCAATACTGCTGCTTCCTTTGGAGACCTGTCCTTCCTGGTCATTTTTCCGCCCCCTCCTGCCCTGTGCAATTCTTTCTTCCATTCCATTTGCTGTAACGGTTGCTTGGGAAAATGCTTTGCTTCTGAACACCTGCCCTATTTGTGGAAGCCTTGGATTCTGTGGGGAAGCCCCATGGAGGAAGGTAGTGTTCACAAAGTGTGCATTTCACGTGTCTAAGTGATAACAATCCCTGGAGAAGGAGAAGGGGATGGCGGAGGATGCGGTGGCTTCATGGGGTTACTGGGGCGGAGGGTGTGAGCTTGGGTGGACTCGGGAGGTCGGTGGAGGACAGGAGAGCCTGGAGGAGTGCTGTCCATGGGGTGTGATGGGTCAGGCAGACAACAGAACAAAGTGAGAACAAAGGGGTGGGGAACAAGAATCCCCACCCTCCTGGGCTTCCCAACATCCAAGAATGAGAAAGGGCCTAATGCGGCACTTTCACATTCACTGCCGCTCGGCGTGACCTTGGCCACCAACTTGGCTTTCGCGTGCAAGAAGGACTGATCTCATCACAGCTGTGAGCTGTGATGCCGTCTCCAAATTCAGGCCGGGGGCTTCAGCCTGCACGCCCTCCGGGTGGGCTTCCCTTCCTGGAGGCTCGGGTGTCCTTTGGGTGTACCCTCCCAGGATTCACCTCATGTCAGCCTTTCCCAAGCGGGCGCTCTCCAGATGTGCAAAGCCGAGGACCCCTGCTCAGCTCTGGGTGGCTGGCGGGTGCTCGGGGGCATTGACCAGCACATCTGGAAAGCGCTGGGTTAGGGACGGCCCTGCAAAACTCTTTCAACGACCATGAATAGTTGGAGAAGTCTCCTCACATTGGCTGATAGCATCTTTCTCCCCCTCATTAGTGTTCTGGTATTTTGCTGGGCCTGGACCAGCTCTCTGTTGAGCTGTATTGCTTAGTAATCTCTCTTTGTTAATATTGGACTGGGCTCTGTCTTTCTTTGTTTCCTTAGCTGAATGGCTTGTGGGTGGAACAGGGCTGGTGTACAGCGTCAAATGCGACAGCTAATGCGCATTTCGTCACCTTTCCTTCCCCCATGCCAAGCTCGCTTCTCTCGGTCAGGGCTTGATTTATCTTTTCAAGGACGTACATGGCAGGTGGAACTGGTGCGCGTCTGAGGGATGCGTCTTAGCTGTGTTGTGGCAAGAAAAGAGGGACTGACATGAGCAGAGCATCAGCTCAGAGGAAGAAGAAAGGGGAAGATGGTTGCCAAATTGGTTGTTTAATGAGCCCATTTCCCAGGATGCGTTTGTGTAGCCACCTTTGGGTCACCCTGTTAGTCTAGGGGGGTGTAGAATCATTTCAGCCAAACAGGTGAATTCAATTTCAGAGAAGCTCTTGCATTCCAGCAGTGGATTGGAGCCAAAGAACAAATGGGATGTGGCCAAAATAACAGCGTCTTGTCGCCTAAAGCTTTTCCTCCTTGGGAGAGGCATTTCTCTCACAAAAGCTGGGGAATTTTCCAAACAATTTCAGGGTGGGAAAAGGGGGCTGAGGCAGGGGGAGGCTATCTGGGGGCTACAGACGAGCCAGTCGGGAGACCCCAGGTAGCAACGAAATTGAAATGCAGCAATGAAAGAGCCAAGGCATCAGTGCGAACCCTCAGTGATTCTGCTCATGCTTGGAATAACCCACTGTAGGCCTGGAATTATCTGGAAGTTTTAACCTGGCACCCACAAAAGGTAACAGTGGTGCCCAACGGGCCTTCCTGGGTCTTAATTGACAGCACAGGATAGAGCCTTCCCAAAACAACAAAATCCACCTGTTTCTAAAATCACGCCGACCTTGCAGTATTTGGCTGCTGGGAAAACACCACCCACCGTGACGTCACAACTAAACTTAAAAGAGCAGAGCAGTCAAGGGTAGTCATCACTGACATTACTTATTATTATAATTATTAGTTAATAATTCAAATTCTATCCAGCCCATTAGCCAAAATGGCTCTCTGGGGCAGGTTGCAAAAGATGGAATCACAATAATATGTACAACAACAATAAGTTAAGCATCTATTCAACAGCAGTAAAATAGCAGCAATACAAAACACAGAGAAATGCAAAAACAAAGAGCAAACGACCACAACAGCAACGAAATTACACAATAAGCTCAGTTCATTTAAACCAAAGGGAAAGGCACAGTAACAGTAAAATAACACGACAGCTCTTAAAATTACTTTAACTATTAAAATATTGGGTAAATAAAAAGGTCTTCCAGTCAAAAGGTCCTGGGGCTTCAGCCCCTGAACTGTGGTGATGCTACGAACGGATATGCCTGCTGGCCTGTTTGCAGAAGAGAAAGACTGGAATTGAAAGAGCAAAGGAAGAAAAGCACAGAGGCAACATTGCAGAGTCATGTGAACATGTACACTTGGCTGTGAGCATAACTGCAGAAGAGCTGCCTAGCTTTAATATCAACACTGAAAACGGTCCGGCACACCTTGGCTCAAGCATCCACTCAAGGGGTGGCTGCAGCCAAGAAATTCGAAGAAGAAGGACGCTAGAAAAAATCATCCGGTGTCAGGAGGTTTCCCTGAGGTCCAAGGCCAGGATCTTCCACACCATTGTATTCCCAACCGCTGGTCTGGGGTATGGAAGCTGGACAGCGAAGGAAGCTGACAAGAAGGAAACGATGCGTTTGAATCATGGTGCTATGGGAGAGCGTTGTGAAATCACTGGGTGGACAGAAAGACAAACAAGTCAGTCCTAGAGCAAATCAAGCCGGAACTTTCCCTGGAAGCAAAAGGGATGCTCCATGAGGCTGTTGTACTTTGGAAAGTATGGGAAGCAGACTCACTGGAGAAGCCGTCATGCGAGGCAAAGCGAAATAGGAAGACCAACTCTGAAACGGATTGACTCCACAAAGGAGGACACAGCCTTGTGTGTGGAAGAGCTGAGCAGGGCTGTCATGGATAGGGCCTTTGGAAAGGTGTTTGTCCACAGGGCCAACATAAGTCAAAGACATCATTATTTTGACTGCTAGTTTGTTCTCATGTGCTGTCCAATTAGAGCTGACTCGATCTGGGCTTGAGGCCAGACATAGGCCTGACGAGGTTGGGGCCTCAGGTGGGCCTTTGCCCAGGTGGGCATGGAGCTCCATCAGGGCCTGAGGCATGGCATTGCTGCTTCTAATGCTCACAACTGCATTCGTATGTCTCCGTGCCCCGAATTTCTCCTAGCAGGCAGAGACTTGCCTCCTAAAACATCTGCCGTGTGTGATGGTCCTCATCCCTTCAGATCCTTTCCGTTTCAATGCTTTCTAGGGATTTCCAGGCGACATTGGCCCACCAGGACAAAATGGCCCGGAAGGCATTAAGGTGAGTGGTGCCGAAAACCCAGCCCTTTGCTTCGGTTCTCCACAGCCAGTGCAAACAAAAGAACCAAAGAAAGGCGGAGAGGGTGGGGGAAAGAAACCCCGGAGATCCCTGGGGACATTTCTGGCCAACCTCTGGTTTCTAGGACTTGTTTGTGTTGAGATGCCTCCAAGAGCTGGCGTAGGTTTCCTTTCTTTCCCTCTCCGCCCTCCCCCTGCTTCAGCAACAAAATTGACATTGGATGAGCTCCCGTGGAAGCACGGGCTGGCAAGCAGCTTTCACTCTGTTTCCCTGTGTGCCTCTCTGCTGGGTCACCCCTTTTCCTTCTCCTCTGTTGCAGGGAAAACCTGGCGCACGGGGATTGCCTGGTCCCACAGGCCAACCTGGCCAAGAGGTAAGGAGCATCGTCTCCTCCGGGGGCTTTCCCTTTCTCTCATTTTGGGAGCTCGCAGGATGGGAAGGGAACTTGGCGGCCACCTGCAGTGGCCTTTCTGGTACCGAAGACCCCGCCTTGTCTCCCCTCAGTCTTCTCTTCCCCAGGCTCAGCACCTGCAGGTTCCTCTTGGACTCATGTCCCTGTTCTTGGCCCTTTTGGTTGCCATCCTCGGACCTGGTTCCCAGTCGGTCCACAGTCCCTTAATAAAGTGCAGCACCCAGAAGGGGACGTGGTTGTCCAGATCAGAGAAGATTTGTTCAGGGCAGCGCAGTCCTGGAAGGGAAAGTTTGAAGCGGCGGTTCTGACGACGCAGCGCAAACACCGAACCCACTGCTTTTGCTTCAGCGTCGTACAGCCGGCTCAGTGGGATCAGCGACCGTTCTGAGATCCCCCATGTTGCTTCTGCTAATATTCCATCTGCCCCCCCTCAGATATTGAGCCAGAGCAATGTTGAATCTCGTTATCACCGTCGTTGATAACGACGTTGTTATCATTTCTTATACTGACGGTTAAGATTACAGCCTGCACTTTTTCCTCTTGTGAGATCCCAAGGTGTCTTGCATGGCTCCATTTTGTCCTCACAACAACTCTGTGTGGTGGGGTGCACTGAGAGGAAGCGACTGGCCCCACGTCACTCAGTTGCATTCATGGCCAAATGCAGACCAGAAATGCGGTCTTGAAGACCCCCAATTCAGTTCGCTGTCGGCCAGGCCAGCTCTGAGATATCCAGCACCATTTCCCCCTGAAGGGCAGGAGTAGTTTGACTGGAGAAATCAGGAATGGATCCCTCCACAGAGCAAGCGCTCTGCCATTCCACAGCCACATTCACACAGGAATTTTACTTCTTGTCATGAGAATTTTACCTCTTGTCCCACCTCACATTGCAGGTTTTGCTTTCTAAACCAAGTTTCTAACTTGTAAGTCTAGCTTTGCCTAATAATTTCTCAGCGCATCCTTTTCCATCCGGGTGCCTTTCAGATATGCCGGACTATGGTTCCCAGTATCCTAGCTGGAAGCTGTACTCTAACAGAACTGGAGGTGCTAGGCTGGGGAAGGTGCTAGTCCTCATGGTTGGGGAAAAGCATGGGAATTCTAAGTGAAAAGTAATCCTCTGGCTCTATTCCACCCTCTTTCCAGCGTTCTTTGTCCACGGCCGCCATGGCAGCTGTGTGAAACTTTTGATACCAACACACCTTACCACACGCCATCCCAGAGCGCCAGAGTCCTTAGAAAATTGGCAAGTGACAATAGCAGCCTTAAAAGACCACTGCTCTTTCTTCAATAAGATGGCCTGTATGGATGGGGCTCCTGAAAGAAGCTGTGTACCTCATCTAAAAAAACAGATGGACCTCCTTGCAGGACGGCTGCTTTATTTTATTCCCCTGCAGCTTGAAAGTATCACGGAGCTAATTGCAGCTCTCACTTTGAATCGAATCGACCGTTTTAATCAGGTAACAGCCCAGTTTCTGACCTAGTGCTCTCTCTGTGTCCCACAGGGTGATGAAGGGCCAGTGGGACCACCTGGCAATCCAGGGGCAGAGGTAAGAAATGTTACGGTTGCTTTGGACAGGTGCAGGTGGAAATTTCGGTTTTGATCTTTTGCTGTGCGGGTCTCTGATTAGGGCTTAATTGTAGCTTCGTGCCTGGAATGTATTTTCAGGGAGAGAGCTCAGATTATTTGGGGAAATAATAAACAGCAGCATTTAAGCATGTGCAGAGTGCTTTCGACTCACCTCGACACCTACCTAGCGGGTTCAAAGCTTGCGTTCTGCTTTCTTAGTTAGCAAGTAGCGCTCTTCAAGGGAGCGGGAAACTTGCTGACTTCGGGTCCCACTATTTTTGGCTCTCCAGACCAATGCTCGGGAGCTCCCAAATGTTGGGGACAAACCTCTCTCTCGGGGCTGGGTGACTGAACAAAGGTTCAGCTCTCTTGGGTCTTCCAAACCTTCCCACTCATCTCGTGCTCAGCTCTTCTTTCCGTCTGCACTGCAGTTTAGGCTACCCAAACAGAGAAATGATGCAGCGATCAAATGTGGAATTTGCCCACGGTTTCCCCGACATACGCACATCCCCCAGTTACTCCCTACACTAAAGCAGGGATTTTGGCCTGCGGGAGAAATCAGCCAATTCGGCAACGTCAAAGCAGGGAAAGTTGTGCAAAGCGAACGTGAGCACACGCCTGGCGGTTTGGGAACATTTCTAGGGGGCATGTGCTTGCTGTTATGCTCAGGCCTTCTTGCATGTTTTGCAAATGAAAACAGCATTTGCATGTATCCTTCCACAGCTCCAGATGTGGAGCTGGGGGAAGACAGAAATAGAGAGCAGGGAGAGAATGAGAATTCAGGAACGGAATGATCCCCAGAGCTTCTCCAGCGTCGTGTGGGAGGAGTGAATTGCTTTGGTGCTGGGCTGCCTGGGTACCCGGAGAGCTTTGGCATCTTGGTGTGCTGCTGGGCTGTCCCGGTTTCGCCCTCTGCATTGTCTCCCATGAGGCAGGTGGGGCCAAGGCCTGTGGGGACTGATGCTTTCTATCCCATCTCAGGGTGGGGGTATGCCGGGGGCGGGGGGTGGGCTTCTCAGTGGAATTCCTCACCCCAGACTTGATTCCCTCTCTTCCTTCAATGGACCGATCACGACTTTATTATTTCTTCTCATTTCTTGGCTGGTAATGAACTGTCCGTCTTGTACTCTTTTTACAATGATGTCATAGATGATAAAATCTGTTTATGCATTTTATCATTGATTTAATGTTAATTGCCTAGAGGGACTGCCTGAGCAAAACGATGGAGCCGATTTATTTTAATCAATACATACATCTTCCTCAGAGAATGGGAGAATTCCCGCTGGATTTAGGCTGTCTGAATTTTGTTCTGTCACTCCAGTCCCTGGGAAGTTTAAAACGTGTTTAGCCAGCCTGGCACACTTCAGATGCTTTGGACTATATCTCTCATCATCCCTGACCATCGACTGTGCAGTCCAGGGCTGACCGGGAGATGCAATTCAATAACGTTTGGAAGGTCCCAAGTCGCCTAAGCACTTGGTCTACTCAATATCACAAGGTTTTCCTCAGTGCTTGCTGAGCAGTTTGAACTTCGTCATTTTCCCAGTGGGAGCGTCTTAAATTATCTTCCCCCAGACGTGGCCGCTGAGGAACCCGGAGGGCAGGTAGCGCTGTCATGTGTCCGTCGACCTCCAGACGTTTTGCTAGCCCTACATTTTGTTTCTCGCTCGTAACAAGATTTTCTCTCTGTGTGTGATTTTTCAGGGTCCACGTGGCCGGAAGGGATTTCCAGGCAAACCAGGTTCTGAGGGCTTAAAGGTAAAAAGAAAAGGCTTTGCTTTTACCTGAAAAGAAAGGCAGTGAGATATAAATTAGTGTTGAGGTTTAGGGAAGCACACTGCTTTGGTTTCAATCTGCTTCTAAGTCTGGGGGTTGTCCCTCCTCCTCCTCCTCCTCCTCCACAAACCATCTTTATTCCTTCTTGCTCTTTGCTTTGGAAATTCCTGCTCATGTTGGTTTCTCTGGCAGAAGGAATTCTGGTGCATAGTTTCGGAAACCACAGAGTTTTATTATTAATCAGCATTAGTTCTCTTTTGAAATCTCTACCCCCCCCCCCACACACACACACACTCTCGCCTCCTTTTTTCATGAACCCTTCTCTGTGTCTCAGCCTGAAATCAGCAACAGCCCCCCTGCCCCCCCACCCCATTTGCTGTCTCCCTTGCTATGGGATCGTTCCAAGGCATAACTTCTTGCCCCCAGCATTCCTCCCAGAGATTATAAACTTTTTAAAAAATGCAACTTTGGAAGCTGACAAACTACAGCCACCCTGGGCAGCTCATCTGCAGGATGTCTCCCCTTGCCCCTCCGCACACCAGACAGTTTACAGACATGCTGTGCTCTTTGGGTGCTTCTCTGTGGCCGGAGCTGTTGCGCCCTGTGCAGTTTTTCTTGCTCGTTTGCAGTGCGCTTAGTTTCCCCTTCCATTGTGATGTTTCCATCAGTGTCAGCTGGGCTGCAGTTGCTGCACGGGGTGTGCCCAAGAGTCCTGGAAGTTCCCAGAAGGTGTTCAGCTTGCTGAGCTGTGTGGCTTTTGAAATGCTGTAAGGCTTAATGCAGGCATGGCATTGAACCACGGCTGGTTTCTAAATGTGACTGGAAAACCAGCAAATTTGAATCAGAAACCATGGTTTGAATTGGGGTTATAAACCAGGGTTTGCATTATTCATGGCTCCGCATGATGTCTGAATAGACAAATTGCCATTGCAGCTGTCGCCTCCGGAGGCTGTTACGTGCAGGCAGGAAATGGGAACAGACATGCACCTTGGTAAACCGTGGCTTGCCTATACATATGAAAGCTCAAACTGTGGCTTGTTGTAAAGCTGGGTCCAAAATTTTGAGTGCTGCTTTTTTGACCAAAAGGGTGTGTGGAACGGGGGCAAAGGAAATTCCTCTGGAATTTTAGGGTGAGTGAGTTACTACTTGTCTCATTTTACCTGAGAAGATAGGTGGGGACGTCACTCTTTTCGGGATTACTTTTTCAAAAAAGACCTCCAGTGGTGTGAAGCTCTCTCTGCAGATCTGTTCTGTTGGTACTTCCTGGCATGCCTGAAGAGCCTAATCACATCGTATCACACGTCTTTGCTCCCGAGGCATCGTGGGGAACCGTGGAAAGACTCTTCTGGAGCTTTAAAAAATAAGTTTAAAGAATAAGAAAAAAGGTGGATGATACACAGCCAGCCTGGACGATAAGCAGCCAGTTCCCTCTCCTGCAAAGAAGGCAGATGAAAATTCTTCCCCTTCTGAAGGAAATCACTAGCAAATCAGGCCCTGCTCCCGCGGGAGGAGAATATTTTGGGGGATGGGTGCTTTCGTTCCAGCCGTAGCTTGTTCGCTAGAAGGAGCATCTGCTTTGCGGGGCAAACGCTCATGTTTCACGAGGAGATGCCCTTAAACCACGTGGGAGGGACTGACCAGGCATGCAAGCAGCGCTGTGGCTCCCCTGGCATTGGGCCACCACCGTTTTGCAAAGGAATGTCTTCTCCTCAACATTAGTTACACGACATGGACACCCATTTCAGGAGGAGGAAGCCCATCTGCTGCCTGGAAAAGCTGAGACCGTGGGAAGAGGCTGTGTGCAGCCAAAGGCAATTTACGTACTCCAATTAGCAATTGTTCTGCTACCCACAGTCCATTAGGGAACGGTCTGAGGTTAATCCTTTCTCAAACAGACCCGGAATGTCCCTGACTCAGCATCTGTGGAGAGTCTTCCGTCACCACCATCTGCAGATACATTTCTTCACCAAGAATGAAAGGGACAGGTCTGTGCCCCAGAGCACCTACAGATCTCGAGCCTTTCCCAAGATGGTGCTCTCTAGATGTCTTGGACTACAGTTTCCATCCTACCTGCCCGTCAGCCATTCCCACCAGCCTGATGGAAATTAGAGTCTATAATATTTGGCGGGTACCAGTCTGAGGAAGGCTTTCCCATGTGGACAGTGGAGGACAGAGTGGGAAATCATGGCAGACGGAGGGCAAATACGTGAATGCCGGCTTTGTTACACGAGAGGGTGGGAAATCCATCTGAGGGAATGAAGAATTCTGCTCTGGGGGGCTGAGCTACAAACCACTGTAACAGAGCATTGGGCAAAACATTATTCCACCGCCTCAGCTTCCCCCCTGTGAAAGGGGGATAATGGCAGCCTGACTCACAGATGTGATATATTTCTACTTATATAATTATATTTATTCATATCCCATCTATTCCCAGTGATTGGGGCTCAAGGCAGGTTGTGCGTATTTGGAAGGGTAGGGTAGTAAGTTGGAAAAACTTTGCAAAATCACAACTGCTTGGTGAATAATAGCATTCTCTGTTATAATAACTCTTTGGCACCATGCTCTGTCTTGACTCAGGGTGAACCCGGGAATCCAGGTCGAACGGGACAAGTGGGCGATCAGGTAAATCCATTCAGTGTCTTTTGCTCCTTTCTCTGTCACTTCTGTCTGGGAAATTTTGTCCTCATGTGCTGATCTTTTCTAGGAATGTGTTTGGTTTTGTTTGCCCAAGACAGTTCTCAGGGTTAGCTGTCTCAGGAATTCGAGATGGATGAATCTGTCAATTTTATTTTCTCTTGCTTTCTCAAGCTTAGTTCCTCCTAAGCTTTGAGAACCTTTTAAAAGATTCACCTGAAAATCCATATGCATTGTTGTACATACACCATTTTTGCTAGTATACATAATTTCTGCAAACATGTACCCTAACATACTTCTTCAACATGATTTTCAGAAAGACCTGTGTGTACTTTCCCCTAATACACACATTTTGTATGCATTTCCTGGTTGGAGAACTCTATTGCAAAATTTGGAGAAGCACGCATTTTAACGGATAACTTAAATTAGCAAACACATTTCTGGACACCCACTTTTAATGGATGTGTAAACAATTTCTTGTTAGGTGCTGTGCCTGAGTAGTGAATTCCTTGCGTAGCTTTAATGACTTACAAAAAGGATCATGCATGTACAGGGTACCATGTGCCTGGATGAGGCCCTGGGAATGGGGCCCACCTGAACATCCCCTGCCCCCCAAAGTAAAATATGCTGTGATCAGGCATTCCGTTATTTCTAATTTTGGGGGCCTTCTGATCCTGGCCTGAAAGACCTGTTAGGAGCCCTTTGCAGAATTCAGTCCCCCAAGTCCATGACGGGAAATGCCAAAAGCTGACAAGGAGGCCAACAGCTGTGGTTCCCTTTTGTCGCTGGAAATAGACGGGGCGAGCTCAGATGCTGTGCAGCTGTACTTGGAGAATGTACGCATGGACTGATGCCAGCGTGGCCCGAGGGGTGCACATTTCCCAAGATCATCCCCCAATCCTCCCACCCCATAATGTGCAAAACCTCAGTTGCAAGTGCAGGCTGATGGGATCTGAGCTAGCAGGGACCAGCCAAGAGCGGGAACCTGGGGTGCTGACAGACGACATACTGCAAAGGCCAGCCCAGCGCACAGCCGCTGTGAAAACAGCCAACTCCGTGCCGGGCGCAATTCAGAGTGGAGGAGCGAACAGAGCGGCCAGATCCCGCTTCCCGCGCACAAGTCCTTCCTGCAGCCACACCTGGGATGCTGTGTTTGGTTCTGGTTGCCTTACCTGGAAAAGGACAGTGCTGAGATGGAGAAAGGACCGAGAAGGGCAGCAGAATGATCCGGGGGCTGGAGCAGCTCCTTCCTACAGCAACTGGGACTGTTCAGATTAGCAAAAAGGCGAGTCGGGGAGGCTTGGTCAGAGGCGCTTAAAATTATGCCTAGTGTGGGCAATTTCTCTCCCTCTCCCACAGCACTCGAACCCAGAGGGTCATCCCATGAAGGTGACTGGTGGGAGGTTGAGGACAAATAAGAGGATGTATTTCTTCACATGAAGTGTAGTTAAGCTATGGAATTTTCTGCCACGGGAAGTGGGGACGGCTGATTCACGAGGGAGGCGCTCCGTGGCTACCAGCCCTGCGGGCCTTGGGCCACCTCCTTGAGTCCAGCCTGCAGGCACCACAGCTGAGGAGCTTGGATAGGTGGAGGTCTTGCGCCCATCCTGCTGGAGGGACCCTGCGCACAGCTGGTTTGCCTCTGTGTGCACGGCGTGCTGGACCGGAGAAGCCTGATCCAGCAGGGCCGGTCTTGTGTTCATCCCCGTCTCTCTCGTTCCCGGGTAACCACACGGAACAGCCTGCGGTGGCTCGGGAGGACCGGCTGTGGGCTGCCCGGCTGTTTGTGGAGGCATCTGTGGCCACTCTTGGAAGACGGCTTCCCACCCCTTCTCTGTTCAGCGGTAGAAGGCTGTTATTTTGGCATGTCTCTTTTTCCACATCTATGCTCTGGTCTGGCGCATGTGCCAATGGGCTTGCAAAATCCTTCGCCCAACTTACGTGCAGAAACATGGGGCTTGGGAGAAGAGCCTGCCAGTGCTCCTCCCCCGGGAGAGGAGAAATCGCCCAAAATTTGGGGACGTGCCACTAGCAGCAGCCATAGTTCAGCTTCGTCCCCCCTGCCCCAGCCTGCCCCCTCCCCATTTCTGTACTGCTGCTTTGGCGAGTACCAGCAGCATCAACTCTGAGAGCATCCAGACCCCGATTCTGCATTTTCCTCTTTCCAGGAAGGGTCCCGGAGAACTCGAAAGCATTTCATTGAGTTGCGTAGTTATTGGTAGTAAGAGCCTTCAGCTGAAGGTTGCTGGCACTGGGGGTCTTTGCTCTGGCCCCCAGCCTTTACCTCACATCCCTCTGGTCTGTACCCCCCCCCCAAGAGCTTTCCTGATGTCGAATCCAACCCTTGCACTGAAAAAGGACCCTCACCCCTGGATTAGGGTTGTATGGATGGTGGGCGTTATCTTTCAAGACTTCAGTCGCACACAGATCTGGGACTGCGGCACAACTGGGTTGTGTCTGCACGGAGCCAGGGTTATCCAGCTGGAATTTCTGGGCCCTGGTCTTGCCAGTTCAGGTCTGGGGCAGGCGAGTGGGGCTGAGCAGCGGGACCCCATCCCAAACAAGACAGAAGCTGTTGACTTAGGCAGACTTTTGGCTCGATCTGGTGGTGCCGTAATATTCTGCCGAAGAGTTGCAACTGCTCTTCAGGCGTGGGTCGCGAAGTCACACCTCCCTGAATCCGGATGCATGGGCATGGCATGGGCTTCCGCGGGAGGCGGTCGAGGCCCCATCGGTGAGAGTGTTCAAGGATAGGCTGGACATGGGAGGCGTGTCGTGCGCGGAGCCGGCTGGAGCCGGGGGTCAGACTTGGTGGCCCCGGAGGGCCCTTCTGACTCGCTCTGCTTCTGTGTTTCTGTGTAAGATGCTCTTGAAGGTGCTGCGGTATTGCTGGCTGTTTTAGCTCCTCCAGACATACTGTCAGCATGAAATGTTGGTCCCGTTTGCACTTAAGATAACGCAGCTGGTCCCTGCCAGTTGCTGCGGATCCAAGTGTACGAAAGCCAGGCCCAGATGAGTTTCTGCCTAAATATGTCATGGTGGAAAATTTCCGTTTCCTTACTAATTATGTTGTCAGAAAAAGAACGTCGTCCCTGTTGACAGTTGTAATGCTGCCTCCCCCCTCTTCCCCCCACCCCGCAGTCTCCCTTCCCCAAAATCACGGCACCGCTACTCTCACTGTGCGGGTTTTAGCCAGACCGTCGTCTTGCTGGAGCTTTGGAAATGGGGTAACTGGAACATAAATGTGGAAATATGGGAGCTTCACCCGCCACACGCTGCCCCCAGAAGCCCCAGCAACTCCTCCCTCCTGCCCATGTTCCCCAGCAACTGGTGTTCATAGCACATGGAGTCTGGCACCAGGGGTGCCACAGAGCCGTGGGGACTTGAGGCCACTGAGTGGCTTCATAAATGTGTCCCGTCCCCTTTCCAAGCTGTCCACCATGGCATCCTGTGGACTTGAGTTCCATAGGTGGGTCGAAAAAGCAGGTTTTCCCTAGCCCCTCCTGGAGTTTTTCCTGGCCCTGCACGGAATTCAGCTTGGGACCTTCCACCTCCAAGCACACGTTCTCCAGCAGGCCTACTGCCTCCATCCCAAAGCAAAGAGCCTAGTCATTCTGTTTCTAAATATGAGTCCATCTTAGTCCAGACCTGAGTATTGTCTGCACTGACTGGCAGCAGCTCTCCTGGATTCCAGGCAGGACGCCTTTCCTGGCTTGGCAGATGGCGGGAATTGCGCTTGGGTCTGCCACACGCACAGTACCGCTTCCATGCTCTGGCCATGGCAGAAGGGTTGGTGTTTGCAGTAATCCGTGCTAATGTTGGGATAGAAAGTGCAGCCTTGCCTTGCGGTGGAACAACGGCCTGTTGCTTCCCAAGCTCCCTTCTCCACCACGAGCAGGTCTCGTGCAAAGCCGTAACCACCCGCCGAAGCCCTCGCCATCCCAGGGAACCTCACGGTGCAACAGGGATGCCTCACAGCAAAATACCGTTGCTGGGAGAGGCGTGCACCGACCGTCCTGCTGGTGGCGAGGGCGGCAGCTACATGGGCAGGGAGGAGAGGAGCCGGACGGCAGCGGGGGGCAGACGATGCCGTCACTGTGGCTGAGAGCAACGTCCTGGCACGCTGACCCTCTGTGCCTCGCTCCCTTCACGGCCTCCCACCTTGGCAGCTCTAGGTAGCTCTGGGGAGGACTCTATTGGAGCTGCCCCCGGCCGTTCAGAGCTTCACAGACTCCGTACGAGCCTTCCAGGCTCGGTACATAAGTACAGCCCTCAACTGTGAACCAGAAGGACTGGGGACTTAGGTGGACAGTAGGAGCTCAGCAGGCACGGATGTGCTTTGAAGGCGGAAGGTCCCAGATCCAACCCCCAGCCTCTCCAGGGATGCTGGAAAGACTCCTGGAGGACCACTGCTGGTCAGTATTCCCCAGCCTTCCCCACTACCAGAGCTATCTTCCCCAGCCAGGATCAGGCACAGTGGCAGGTGCATGGTCCAACACACCTGGAAGATGCCCATGCTGTAGCAAGGGATCTGTTTGGGCCTGGGAATGCAGTGCCATGGCTCCCTGGATTCTGCAGCGGCCCTGACTCTGGGCATGCCCAGCGCCCGCCAGGAATCCCGTGTGTGCCACCACTGCCAGCAGTGAGGCGGAAGGAAGGTTCATCTCCAGGAAAGGGATGAACCTTCCTACATGCGGCACCGCCACTCTGGATGAAGGTTGCCCGTGGTGCCATGGGCATTGGCAAGCTTCTTCTTGGCTCGGCTTGCTGTGCAGCTGCTGGAGGGATGGATTCCGATTCTCCCAGCCCTCGTAGCCACTCTGGCCCCCGGTGGGTCACGTGTACTCTGATAGGGGCTGACTTTGGCGGGGCGGCCAGTCCCTGCACTCCATCTCATCGGAGCCACGTTAAGAAAGCGGTTCGAGGCGGCCCTGCAGCTTCTCCTCCCTGCAGCCGGCTTTATTCTGCAGTCCGCAGCTCCAATGCAAGAGGAGGAGGCGGTTGTAGCCAGGGAGAATCATAAACACGGGTCTCTCCATCCCCTGGCCGTGGCGCTGGGTGTAATTTGTTCCTGCTCCGGTTGTCTGTTTGTGGCTCTCTCCGGCGCGGCGCTTCAAAGGCCCAACAGTAGTTGAAAAGCAACACCAGCTGGCTCTGCCGTGGAGGCCACCGTCTGGGAACAATTGTGGCTGCCCGGGGTAGCCAGTAAGAAGTTCCGGGCAGTTTGCAAAGGGTGCGGAGCTAATTCATCCAGCAAGGATGGAGCCTCGCTCTGTTTGTTGCTCTGGAGCAAATAAACTAGAAAATCAAATTTGCTTTTGTTTGTTCTCTCTTCAGGGTCTGATGGGCTTCATTGGTCCAGTAGGGGAACCGGGAATCATCGGGGAGAAGGTGAGGCTGGGTGGCTGGCATGAGCAGGGGCTCCTCCTCCGCGGGAAATCGGGAGGCGTTAAATAGGGGCGGCTCATTCTCAGCATCACATCGAATCACTCGCCTGCGTTTCTGGGGCTGGCTGCAAATTTGAGGAGGCTTTGATGGTATTGCTCTTCCTTGCCTCTGACACCCCAACCCCTCTCTGCTCGTCTGCCTCACCGGGGGAGGGCAAATGGGGCAGGGGGGGCAGTGAGCGATTCCAGGGAGGGCAGAATATTTGGGCAAGCTTGGCCACGGGGACTTCCGCACGGCCACATGCCCACAGACGTGAGGCTCAGCATGCATGCTCTCCGGCCTCCTCCATCGTGGCTTGGCCTGCATCTCCACTAATTGCTTCTGGGTGCAATTATCTCTTTCAGGGGGACCGGGGCTCCGTAGGATTGCCAGGACCTGAGGGCGTCAAGGGATCGATGGTAAGCAGTCCGTCTCCCGTCCCTCTTGCTGCTGCTCTATCCGACAAGCGGCAGCTGCCCTCTTGCACCCTCTTCCGGACGGAGCAGAGCTGCCCTTTTCCCTGCCTGCTTCCACTGGGAGGTCAGGAAGTGAAATCCCAGCATCTTAGCACTCGTGTCCCAAGTGGGATGAAGTGTGCCAGCTGTCCCCGATGCACCACTTCCTCAGATGACGGTGACGTTGCGAGTCTGAGAAAATCCTTCCCCTGATTTGCCATGGACCCTCTTTTATTTATTTAATGGCATTTCTGTATCTCCCCAAGGCCAAAGCTCTCTGGGTGGTTTGCAACAGTATGTAAAAACGAGACCAAAACATCCAGTAAAAACATAAAATCTTATCAAGAGGGGGAAAAAGCACACACAAACTTTGAGGGCGGTCACAGCCAACCGGAAAGTGTTTAGGACCATCCGTTGCTTGGCGCTCATGGAACCGGGAGTGGGGAAACCAGATACGAATGAGTCTCTGGGTAATTTTGAGAGGCTGGCCAAGGTTTCTTTCGTATGCCGCAGCCACAAAATGATTCCCCTTCTCAGCGTAAGTTACACTGCTGAAATAGAGAAAGATTTAGCGGCAACCCAAACTTTTGTGCAAAAGGACTATGAGCTTCCTCCAGTTGTGACCCTGGAGACAAATTCCTTGGCTTGGAACTCTTCCCTTTGAAGGGTGCTTCTAGATTAGTCTTCCTATCAAGCGGATCTCTTTGCCTCACACATCGAGGGTCTAGACTGGAAGATCTTCCAGTTGCGACCTTCCCCTGTTTCCCCACTGCTGCTTTTCTTTCCGCAAAGCAATCCATGAAGATGGAAAAGATGAAATAGCTGTACACTGTCGTTGTTGGGTTGGTAATGCTAAGGGCGTGGTATCAGGAAGCCCTCCAAGGTATACCTACAGCCTCGGGGGCTGCTTGGTTGATCCAGGGAAAAGGAAGTTTGCTCGAGTCTGGAGCCAACCCCACCTTTGTCGTAGAAATCCCAACATGGACCTGCATACAGCCTGCTTTTCTCTGGTCAGCCCGTACCACTTCAAACCACAAGCTGGGTGTGCGAGCGTGCAAAACGGAGAAAGGAACTAGGGGAGACTGTCAAGACGAAGGCTTGAATCCTCTCTTTCTTTCCATGAACGGAACGGAGTTCGTGGCTACAAGAGAGGGCTTGAAATTAAATAACTAAATAAAGTGTTCTTCTTTTTTCTCTCCAGGGGCACCCTGGAATTCCTGGAGGTGTCGGGGAGCTGGGCCCCCCAGGACCACCGGTAAGTAAGACCTGTAGCCCTGGCAGCCACACCACGGTCCCCCTGCTGCCTTTCTGGAGCCTTCCAAGCGCTATCGATGGGAACAAAGTTGTCTCCCCGGTTGGGGCTGAGGTGCAGACACGGCCCCAGATGCCCCACTGTCAGAGGCAGCAGTAAGGTTGGGGCAAACGCAATCAGGACCCCTCCAAGCATCAGCGGGTCTCCTCCGGGACTCAGCCTGGTCTTCCAAAGTGAGCCGAGCTGAAAGGAGGTCCGTGAGCACTCACGGTCTCCAGCTGTGCAGCCGCATGAGCTGCAGCGGGCCCGGAAGAGCGCTCCCTGTGCGGTGGCCGTGGGGTCTGCTTTCCTGGCAGGCCCCTGGCAACCAACCTCCATTTGGGGCTGGTGGCCTTTGGGGAATCTCCCGTATCCTGAAGCAGAGGTCTTGCTTTTCTTCTCCTCTTGCGGACGAGGGAGGCGAGCACCTCCATGCTCCTCCGGGGAACCACAGCCCAAACACGTCATCGTCATATGCTTATCGTGCCCCTATTCTTCTGTTTCTAGGGTCCTACCGGAGTTCGTGGGCCCCCAGGAACAAGAGGCCCAAAGGGTCGCCGGGTGAGTGAGGACGGTAGTCGCAGTGCGTGTCTAGAGAGCGGGTTTTCCCGCTAACTTTCCAGGATGTAAAATGGGAACAAGGGGCTGGGGATTGAGATGGTCCTCCCCAGGTGCCGAAAAGTCATTGGCGTGTGGGGTGAGCAGGCCTCTTCTGGGAAGGAGCCTCAGAGGAGGGTGACCACAATCAGGATTGTGTCCCCACTGTCATCTTTAGTGGGCCAGGTCTGGGCAGTGAACAGTGGCTGTGGTGGCTTCGTGGCAACAGCATGGCCATCTTCTGTGGCAGATTTGCAAAACATGAAATATCAGCTCCAGGGAACTCAGTACCCAAAGGGTACCGAGGAAGTGCTGTGAAATACTTCTGTATTCAGACCATTGTCGCCAGTCCACCTGTCGTTTTCGTTTCTTCCTTTTCTTTACTGAAGAAGTCTAACTGTTTTGGAATCACAAAGACTCTAGCGGTTCAATCAATCCATGTAGTCAGATTCAGGGTGCTGGTCTGTGAGCGGCGAGGGCCCTGCATGGCAGCCTGTGTGATTTTTTTTAATCTGATGGAGCTGAATGCCCGATTCTAGAGGCTGCAAAATCTCATTGAAAATCGCAACCTTAAAACAAAAACAGCTAGCTGCAAGAGCTTTGCAAGAGGTCAGTGGCCATCAAGAGATACCTTTGCAAGAGGTCAACTGCAAATCCGAGCTGCTGGAATATTTTTCGGTTGCAAGGAGATCTCCCCCTCCTTCAGCTGGATAGGACGCACTCCTAAGTAATTGGACTAGCTATTTCATCCATTGCTTGGCTTCGTTATTTGTTAAAATATATTGCCTGTGTCAGAAGGCTCGGTACCGGTGACACTTTGAGGATCTTGGAGGAAAGAATTGGGTTTCTCTTGGTGTGTGTGATGGACTCTGCCTGAGAGACTGTTCTGCAGTATATGAACCTATCTGGGCTGTTAGGGCTTTAAAGTGGACAAGGACTGTTCCCCATGGGACTCTGGGACAAAATAAGTCTTGATGGATGTCATCTGAGCACTGCCCATTTCAGTTCATACTCACTGCCTGTTTCTTGCTGAGAGAGCAAAAGCCACTGCTTCTTTGACCCTCAGTGCCAAATATCTGCTAGTTTTGGACACGAGCTGGAAGGAAAAGTCTCTTTCAGGCTTCTCATTCATCAGATTTGGCACACGTGGAGGAATGATTTGGCTGGGCCGCGTATGCCGAAGTGGCAGGCCCTGCTCTCTCAGCCCAAGTTGCTAAAACTGCAAGCAAAGCTTCCGTGGATTTCCATCCACCGATTTCTAAATTGATCTCAGCGGTTAGCCTAACCATGAGTCAACAAAGCTGAGAACGCACAAAATGAGTGCCATAGCGAAACTGTAAATCTTCTATTTAGCCTTCAGATGAGGCAAGGAATAGTAAAAATTTTTGCGTTTGGGTTGTGTTTAAGATCCTGATTAAAATAGACGTCTCTCTTGTAAGTTTGATCTTGGCTACAGAAGAACAGCTATCTATGAAAGTTGGTCTTCTAGGCTTTTATCTAGGCTGAAAAATAAAGATGGAGAAGAGGAGGGAAGGTATTCAAGATCACGGGGGTGGGTGCGATGCACCACTCTTTCTTCTGCGGTTACGAGACAGGTACCAGCTGCCAAAGCAGTGGCCGGGAAGTATTCGTTACAGGGAGTATTTGGGTTTATGAGTGCACATCGGGGGTGTCGAACCTCTCTGAGGGCGAAGGCCAAATTCTGTTTTGGATAAGCTCTCGGCGTCTGCATCCTGGTGGTGGGTGGAGCCACGGAAAGGGGGCAGGGCCGAAACCTCCAAGTACAGCTGCATATTTTAGCCTGACTTGCTTAGAGGCAGTAATGAGCTTTCTGTCTATCCAGGCACCACGTCTCATCCTAAGCCTTGAGAGAGGTGGCTCGGCGGTTTTGAATGGGGCGGACGTGCACAAAAGCTGCTGAAGCCACCCAGTGGCTGTTGTGTGTGTGTGTGGGGGGGGGGGGGGATGAAAGGGGTGAAGCCAGGGAAAGGGGGCAGAGCTTGCGACAGAGCTGTAGGGCTCCAGTCGAGAACCCTCCAAGGCCGATTGACATGACAGTGTGCATCCCCATTGTATACGCTGCTCATCTGTTTCATAGCCTTCCTTTCAGACTTGATGGCTAAGAAGGAGGTTAAAACTGGCTAAAGGCTAAACAAATTGAGGGGGCAGTCTAAGGGGCTGCAGTGACGACGTCCACACATGTCCAACCCCGGTGCTTATGAAGGTCCTCTCCAGAGGGGAGGAAGCAGAGGATCCGTTCGCGGCCTCCTTGCTTGCTGTTGCTTCTCCGTAAGCTGGCTGGTTGGCCGATTTTGGCCCTCTGTCCACAAGGAGGGGAGAACGCAGGAGACGGGCAAAGCCGCCGAGCTCCCTGACTGAAGCTCTGTTTCCAGCCTTGAACTGGGGAGTCCTGAGGCTCCTCCAGTGCCGTCTAGGGCTCGACGGAGTGTGCTCTGAAGTGAAGGAAAGTTTCAGGTGCAGCGGTAGAAGGTTCCTCCAGGCCTTACTCCTTTTGGATGCCGCTGTCGCTCCTACATGGAGCTCACAAGCCACTCAGCGTTGCTGGTGTATCCGAAGGAGCTTTCAATCTTCAGGAGCAGCAATTTCCATTCACGCCCCTCACCAAATCCTGGTGGGAGCAGGTGAGCTGGGCACCTGCAGGGGCCAATCAGAAACCAAGAGAACGACCGGATGCTGCGCCCCAGCACCTTCTCCCACCTATCGACTCCTACCTTGGGAGCAACTGGTGAGACTTCTCTGGATTTCTTTCCCCAACAGAGCTTCCAGGTCTGGTGCCGGATGATCTCTTCCCAGCTAGGGAGATAGAGAGCCACCATTTTGCAAGGGAAGGGCCAACGACAGCTAGAGGAGCTGGTCCTGCTGACTGGAGAGGAATGGAAAATAACTTTGGAGCAGTCCTTCCTGGGCCAGAACTACTCTGCACTCACTAGCGTGTAAATCTTAGAGCTCAGTTCCACACAGAAGCTGCAAGGCCAAGAGGAAGCATCCCCTCAAGTCTTCCTTTCAGCGTACTGTTCTGGAACGGCAGCGTCTTCTCCCTCTCAAGAGAAGGCGAAAAAAAAGCGTTTTTTCCAGAGCCAAGCTTGTGTTTCCAGCAGCCAGTTCTCTGGAACTGTGGTATTTGGGCTAGTCCTTTGCCAAAGCTTCCAAATTGCAGTGTTTCTCTTTGTTCCTCTTCCCTTCCAGCTAAGCCTGGGTGAAGCAAGCAATGGGAGAGAAACGGCGCCGGTGGCAAAGCCTTCCGCCGCCTTCGCCCCCAAAACTGTCAGAACCACTTAATTTTGGGAGCCTGCTCTTCAAAAATGCTATTTTAATGAGGTGGAAATAAGGCAGTTAAAGACTTTAGAAGGCCCAGCGGGAGTCTGCACTCGAGCGTAGGGGAAAACCCGGAACCTGAAGGTGTTCGGGGCTTTGATATTTTGGGTGGTCGGGCCCACGTTGGCCAGGAGTGCCCGGAGCACCGGCGGAGGCCCTGTGGTTACGTTAGTGTCACCACGGATCATTCTGCTCAGGAAACTCAAGTCCAAGCAGTGCTGTAAGGGCCAAATTATACTTGACAGGATTCACAGGTCCAGAGAAGCGTGCTTAGCTTGGCTGCTTTTTCACTCTGGTGGTGGCGGTCCTGGTGGTGGGTGGGCTGCAGGCCCCCGTCAGGATCCTTCAACAGATTTCAGCTGAAACATTGCTTGTTTTTACCCCTGAAATGGCTGTTTCCTGGGTTAAGAAAAATCCTTTTGTTTTATCTCCCCGCGCCCTCCCCCCCGGCTTTTTTGTTGCTCCCCAGGAGTGCTCCGACCCCCGTTCACTGCCCCCAGCAATTTCCCCACTGGCTGTGCTCCCCTCCAGCCCCGATGATCCTCACAGGGCGAGGAGCCTGCCCCGGGCGTGCTGGGTGCTTGTGTGGTGGACGCGGGGTCCCGTGCGGCCCGCGAGCGAACGGGCTTGCCCATCCCCATTGCAGGCCTTCAAGCGTGCCAGGCATTCACTGGCTGCATCTCAGCCTGGCGGGACGCCTCACCCAAGTTTTCTGCTCGGAGCAGTCGCTCCTCTGGGCCGATGGTCTCATCTCTGGCTGTGTGAGGGTGGCCGTGAAGTTGACCTATGCACCCCCCGCACCCCCCTGTGTTCATGAGGACCAGGATGGGACTTCAAGGGGGCGAAGCTGGCCACTGTGGGGAACAGCTGCTGAGTTCCATGGAAAAGGAGTCCTGAGGAACCAAACTGGGCATTGGGACCCAGTGGGAGGGGGCTGGAGAGCATGTCCCCCTCCCCCCAACAGGGAAAACGCCATTGTCCGGCAGTCATCTTTCTGAGCTTCCAGGGGGAGTGCCACTAGGCTGAGTCCTTGGCCCCACACTCTGAACCTGAAGCCCCAGTGGTGAGGCTGTTTGAGGACAGACTGGGCATGCGTGTAGTAGGAATGTTATGGGCGGAGCCGGCTGGAGCTGGGGGTCAGACTAGATGGCCCAGGAGGACCCTTCTGACGTGCTCTGTTTGTGTGTTTTGATCATTGCCTTGGTGCTGATGGAAAGCTTTTTCTAATGGCCATGCAGAATGAAGAGTTGATTGGGTTTGGGGCTAGGGTGCAAGTTAATTGAAGAGTGTATTACACTTGGGGTGGGAAATGAAGAAGCAGGTTCTGACTTCTGTGAAATTTACAAGACCAGCCCTTTCAATGCACCTGAGCAATGTCTGAATTGGACCGTCCAGATGGAAGTTAACATCTGCAGATGGTATCCTGATGGTTGTCTTATGGGCCTCTGGCCCAGCTCTGTTCTAGCAACGCCCCCAAGTTTCGCATCCCTTCTTGGAAAGCTTTGCCCAGGGTTCTGAAAACTAGATGAAAAATGCAGGTAGCTAGGCTGGTCTATTAGGAAAAACCATATGCAATCCCCCAACTATATTGTCATTCCTCCATTTGGGGCCTAGGTTAATTTGTCTGGAAGCAAAACCGAGCAAGCTTTTTGTACGCCTTCCATGTCCACGTGCCTAGGAATGACGAGCTTGCTAAGGAAATGTTAGTCTCCCAGTGGCTCGATGCCTTTCTCAAAACCTACGACGCAGCTCCCCTTGGAAGTGTGTGCTCCTCAGATGGCTGCGGCCCAGGAAGACCTGGGAAATCCATCTGAAGGACACCAGAGTGGGGAAGGCTGCTGTCAAGTCATCTCTAATTTATGGTGACCCCATGAATGAAAGCCCCGGAAGATGCCCAGTCCATGACAGCTCCATTTGGCTCTTCCAAGTTCAAGGCTTGGGCTTCCTTTATGGAGTCCATCAATGTCATGTTTAGTTTTCCCTTTCATCTCCAAGTTCGGATCTGCTTCTCCCATTGTCTTTCACCATTGGCTATGTTGGCTAAGAAAGATGGAAACTGTCAACCGAAATATAACTGGAGGGCCAGAAACAACATGTATTGTACACACAAACCGTTTCTTCCTTCCTACCCTTGAACTTACTATCCTGTGCCAACAAAGCCTTAATTTCACTGTCATTCTTCTACATTTTCCCCTCTTTGGGTTTTGTTAAATTGCCGAAGAGTCGGAATGACCCCCTAGCTGTGCTTTCAGATTCTGTCATTCTCCCCTGTGTGTTTCTGGTTCCACATCCAAGAATGTAATTCAACTCAGAATGGAAAGACTTTAATGCAGTGCCTTGCCAGATGGTTGTGGATTCCACGGATCCATGTTTAGATGCTTCATTAGTAATTTCATTTTTGAAGGCGAACAAATAGCTAATCTGGTTTTGATTGCAAAGGAAAATACAGCATTCTGGGACTCTCCATTTGAATGATAGGAGCCCTTGGACAAAGAAGTCCCAGTGTTGACTTCTGAAAGACACACCCCCAAAACAGACACTTTTGATAAATATCTCTCCTGTTACAAGAATGGAATTTTGTTCTTGTTTAGTTCGGTCTTTCCCCCCTTCTCCTACTGCCAATGTTTTCTGAACTGAGATAGGAAGCCTGATTTTTTCCGTTCTTTTCCCCACACAGACCTATTTGCATGAGTCCCGGGGCTTCAGGCAAACAGTTTAATCCCAAGGATTAATCTTAAACACATGCCAAACAGTGTTCGCGTTTGACAGAGTCTTACTCGGGCACCAAGGCCTCCGTGGAATTAAGTCCGTGTGCTCAAAACGATGCCACCCACCTTTGTCGCGCCTTGGTGTGTTCCTTTGCTAGGCACCCGTGGGCGAGTGCAGGGAAGCAATCGTGCCCCAAGGGCGGAGAGAGCCCCGTGGGCATCGGGGGCTGAGCTCACGGGGATGCTTGGCCACGGGGGTTCCCGGCTTTTCCCCGCATCCCGTTCCTCGCATGTCATTTCTTCAGCATTTAACTCATCCATGAACCCAACCGCCTCTGCGGCTCAGGAGAAAGACTGCTTCTGTAGGCGGGCATCTCTGCCAATGCTGTGCATTCATCCACATCTCCTTTCGCTCACTTCCTCCACTCAGGGAAGCTGAGGGGATACCCGCACCCAGCCGAACGTTCCCTTCATTATGCCGTAATTGCCTTAATTGTCAGCCGTAGCTCTTTGGCCTCCCATCTCAGCTGAACGGCGGGCGAAAAGGGTCCAGCAAGCAGAACCGGAGCTGTGTTTTCATATTGTTTATTTCATTCCATTTTGGTGTGTCGTCCGCAGATGAAAAGCACGCTTCCACCCACAGAGTAGCGTAGCTGGGTGTGTTGCTCTAAAGGAAGCCAGCTGGGGGTGGGAAGAGTCCTTTCCAGCAGCTTTTTACCTCTGCGGCTGAAATGGCAACGGGCGCGATCAAGAGTAAACGATGCGCTTTTTAAGTGTCCCTGAGGACTGCTCCTAGTTATGGAGTGCCAAGGTGTGGCTTTCCAGGGAACGCTTGGACGCGCGACCCTCGAGGAGTGGCTTAGGTCTAGATCACCTCTGGAAAGCCTTCTGATTCCAGGCTCCGGGGATCCTTTCGGCTGCAACGGGGAGCCCTGATGGGCTAGCACAGGGGTGGGAAACTGACTAGCTGGCCGCCGGGACACTCACCAGAGCTGGAGGGTGCCGGTGGGCCGGCTTGGCCTCTTTCCCATCCCCAAGCCCCCGGGAGCGGTCCTTTCTTGACGCACGGCGGCCAGATATGGGAGCGGGCTGCTCTGACCAGCGCGCTCATCTCTTTGCTGGCTGAGGACGACGGTCTTTATCAGTCTTTATCTCGATCAGCAATTACAGTTGGCATTCGCTTTGCTGCAGCGCTGACAAGCTTGGGGGGGGGGATTGGGGGGGAGCTGAGAGGCTGAGGGGAAAGGCTTGTGGCTGGGTCTGGTCCACAGGCCAGGAGTTCCCTGATCTCGGCTCAGATCCTGTCATCACTTCCCCCTGGACACACGTCAAAGCTCCTGCCTGGAGGGATCATTAAAGTACAGGCCACACATCGTCTGTGCTTTGCATAATCAGATAGCTTCACCTATTATTATTATTATTATTATTATTATTATTATTATTATTATTATTTAAACCATTTCTATGCCGCCCTGTTCACAAAAAGCCTCGGGGCGACTTACAGCATTAATAAATAAACATAAATAAACAGTTACATAATTAGATTTAAAAAACCGGAAACATCTCGGCACGTACATAAAAACCCAATAAATACAGTTCATAAATTAATAATTAAAATAACTTTTAAGTAAACAGGTCTTGGCCTGGCACCGAAAAGCAAATAACGACAGTGCCAGGCGGACCTCTCTGGGGAGCGCATTCCATAGTCAGGGCACCGCCGCAGAGAAGGCCCTCCTCCAGGTACTCACCATCCTAATATCTTTCACGGAGGGCAACTGGAGGAGGGCCTTCTCTGTGGTGGCACCCCAACTATGGAATATGCTCCCCAGGGAGATTTGTCTGGCGCCGAAGTTATATTCTTTTCAGCATCATGGAAAGCCCTTTTAATTTTCCCATTATTTTAATGTTTAATTGGTTTTAATTGGGGCTGTAGTATATTAATGGCCGGATGCTGTGGGGCTGTTCTATTTATTTATTGTAAGCCATCTCAAGACGTTCTGTAGGGGATGGGATAGAAAAGCTTTCGATAGATAGATAGATAGATAGATAGATAGAAAGAAAGAAAGAAAGAAAGAAAGAAAGAAAGAAAGAAAGAAAGAAAGAACATGGGCAACAAAAAGCTACAGGGCCTTTTCGTTCATGGCCCCACCAGTTGCCGAATTCTCTCCCGGGAGAGGACTGTCCTTCACTCCCAGCCCTCAAGGTGAAAGGCACAGACCATTTGCTTAGCAGCGGAGGGAAGCAAGTTTCAGGTTGCCGTTTAATTCATGTCTTGCTCAAGCCGCAGCGCCCGTGGACTGTTGATTCATTTTATTTGTAGACGCTGCAATATTTTCCAAGCGTTGCACAGTGTGACGCGGCACTGATTCCCCACCCTGGGTGCCTCCACGGAGACAGGCCATCTCTGTAGATAAATGGTTTCGACTCTGTTTTGACAACGGCAGAATTAAAGATGCCCTACTGTTCGGCTGAGGGATTCGTGCACGAAAAGCTTCAGATGCTGCTCAGCATTTTTCTCCTTTGACGTGCCGCCTCTCGGGATGATCGGCAGCCCTAGAGAGACACCTGCTGTTCACTGCCTTCTCTCACTGCCCCCTCTGTCATTTATTTATGTAGGTGTCTGTCCGTACACTCACACACACGTATCTGTTTGTCCCCAGGGTGCTCGAGGATTTGATGGGCCCGTGGGCGAACCAGGGGCCCAAGGCGCCAAGGTGAGTTCACACCCCCATCTCCAAAGGACCTTGGTGGTGGCAGGACTGTCCTTGGGTATGTCTGGGGCTTGCTCCCTGCACGAAACGGGTTCCCAGCCTTTCCCACACTTCTGTAGTAAAGCAATTCTGGCTAGAAGAAGGTTGGGGACAGAGACTAAATTTGAGGAAGGAGGTGGCATGACTGCCTTCAGCTCGCTCTATCTCCCAAGTGGTGGAAGAAATAGAGTGCACCCTGGGGCTTGTTTTGAAGTGGCATAGCCCGAACAAGAGCGGACCACCCACTGGCCGCTTCTGAGGACCCAGGCTGGGAAAGATGGCGAGGAGCTGCAGTGTCCATGGTCTGCTCATCTCCTCCTCCTCCTCCTCTGAACAGGGCCTTCCAGGGAATCCAGGCAAAGATGGCCCAGATGCTCAGCAGGTAAGAAATGCGCATGAGAACGTCTTTAATATTGCTGGGAAATTGCCAGATCTTTGGGCTTTTTGCCAGATCTCCACGGCGGTCAAGTTTACCCGAAGTTTACAAAGGCTGCCCGTCCCCTCTCTGCTTTGACTTTGGGTTCCCTCGGAATGCACAATGGCAAACTACTCTTGATTATGCTGAGAATTGTGTCCTGCTTCTTTCTGTCATCCCTCCGCTGCTGTCCACCCTCCATCCATCAGGGCGCCTGAGTCAAAAAGAGAAACAAGCAATTTCTCCCGCTGTGCTTCAAAATTCTGCACTGCAGTCCGTGTGCAGGGTGGAGGCCCTGTCTCTAGGATTGCTCGGATGTAAAGGGAGCCCGGGAAATTCAAGAACAGCCTTCCAGGCACATTTGGACTGCAACACCCAGAATTCCCAGTCAAGGGCTCTGCTGGATGGGCATTGTGGGAGCTGCAGTCCAAATGCCTCTGAAGACCACCAGGTTGGGGAAGGTGGATCTAGAGACCCTGCGGCACTCAGTTCCGTAGAGCAGACATGGACTGCCGGCCCAGCTTCAGTGTGGTCGCTTCGATGTGGTGTTCCCCATTTCTGCGGAACTCCATCCCTGTGTTGCTCAGGCAGATGCCAACAATTTCCCGCACCCCCTGGGAACACCTTCATTTCAAGACGCCTCCCCGATATACCAGCCATACTCTTTATTGGAATTCTGTTTCTAAAAGACGACTCTTTAGCATGGTGTTCTATTCTTTTTATCACTGATTGCTTATTGCTCCTGAAACGGTATAATGAAGCACCATGTTACTGCTGTGAAACGAACAAGCACACAGTAAACCTAGCAGAATTCAAACCCATCTGCCCCAACACGATTGGATAGAACTGAGCTTCCCGAAGTGGAAAGGGCTGTGTTTCACCCACCTGTTGTATCTTCATGAAAGAGGAGGAACTTGTAGAAAAGGCAGACAGGCACAGCAATCCAAACCCAGCACCAAAAACATGGCCACCAGACCCAGACTTTTAAGAATTAAGCGTTATTAATCCCCTGAGTCTGGAAGGATGCGATTTCTTAGTCTCGGGTGCTTTCTGCCCTTCTGAATTTCATGAATCTGTGAATTCTACTCGGTGCTTTTCAGTCAACCAAACCAGCAGAATTCTCACCTGTCCTTACTGTGCACACCCCATGACGGTGCTGGCTAATCTGCACCATCTGCAATGGGTATTGTAGTCACTCCAGTATCTCCAGCAGCTGATACAGGAGTGTTCCATGCCTTTGCAGACTTGGAGGAGAAATAATAATGATTCATTCCTATGGGAATCCAGCTGTTATTTCCTTCCAAGCCACCAGGAAGTTGAGCACAAACCCGGATGTTTTGGCTGGGATCCTTTCTCGCCTTTTCATGTGCTCTCTAAGGAAATGCCAGCCGGCTTTTTCTGTGCCGCTTGCTCGTGTGTGCTGCGCCTTTCCTTCGCTGCTTCCGTTCACCTCTGAATTTCTGTTGCCGCCGTGTCTTTGCAGGGAAAGGCTGGAGAGATGGGTGAAGCAGGACCTCGTGGCTTCCCTGTAAGTTTGCGCATCCCACCCCCAGCGCGTTCTTTGTTACGGGGGGGGGGGGGTACCCAGCAGGGAGATCTTTGCTTCCTGTATTCTGCCAGATTTATGACAGCAGAATCACGGGAGTGAGGTGGGCGATCCCGCCGTTGCTTTTGATCTTCTCCAGACTTCCTCCATGCTCACCCCTTGTCAAAATTTTTCCACCCTCCGAATGGGAGGAAATAACTATGCCAGCTCCGTGGGATTTACCCCATTTCTGCTTTTTATCCTGTTCCGGGCATGTGCAAGAGAAAAGGAAATCCTTTCCCAAAAGCTGCTGTGATACCGTCCTTTTCTGTCCCCTCTGCTGTTGGCACGCAGACGGTGGGCTCCCCCAGTTCTGCACGGAGGAAGCTTTTCAGCAGGCCTCCCTAGCGATCTGTAGGCGTCCTTCCCTGCAGGAAGCAAAGGAAATACACTAAGCCTCCTGCCTCCTGAGATGCAGTCCTGGACACACTGATTAGATCGTAAGCAGCACTGAACGGTGCTGGACCGACTTCTGAGCATGTGCTGTGAACTGCAGAATTCCACTGTGTTTCCCCATCCCTGTTCTAGAAATGGAAAGTCTCTCGTTGCGCATTCTGAAATGCCATCTTGACAAGGTGCTAGCGATGTTCTGGGAGGTGCACAAAGACATACTTCAGCCTGGATCTCTGATGTGGATCTTGCTGTGTTTTTGTCTGCAGGGGATCCAAGGACCTTCCGGACCGCAAGGAGCAAAGGGGCCCCTGGGAGACCCGGCAAGTACCTGATGCAGCCGTCCCCTTCCCTTCCCTTCCCCTTTTCTCACATGCTCCCTCGACAGTTCCTCCCCGGCAGTTTCTTCCCAGCCCTACTGTCTGGCAGAACTTTAAAGCAAAGTGTCCTTTACTCCATACGCCTCTTTTTCAGGGTCCTCAGGGAGTTCAAGGTCCACCTGGGCCATTGGGAGACGTCGGACATAAGGTAAGGGTTTCCCACCGGGCCACATCCTCTCGTCTTCATTACAAAACACTCCGTGTCCGTAGCGGCTTGGGAGCCCCAGAAGTGCCAAATGGAGCCAGGACGGCCCTTTCACACTGTGCAGCTGTCACTAAGCTCAAAGATTAGGCTTAGCTTGGAAACAAGCCGAGCTTAACTGCTGCAGTGCAGCAAAGTGGTTTGCTCAGGGTCGCACTGGCGATTCCCTCCTGCGGTTCTGCTGCCTTGGGAAGGGGGAATCTAGGAGATGGAAATGACCTCTGGGCTTGGGACACAAGAGCCATGGAAAACAGGTGGGGACTCCAGAGGGGCTGCTCGCAGGTGAAGGTGCCCAGAGAAGAAAGGACAGGAAGGGAAGGCTAAGATCCTGCTCTTGAGCTCAGTTCCTCCAAAAGCCAAGTTCAGGGTCGTAATTCCTGCGCCATCCCCCTTTCCTCTGACTCCTGTGCCACAGAAATCCCAGCTTTAAGCTTGTTCTCCATTAAGTTAACAAGGGCTTTTGTTTTTCTCCTTTCCCTCCCCCGTCCTCGCTCGTAGGGACCGCCGGGCTCAGTGGGACGGCGTGGCCTTCCAGGGGAACCCGGCATCAAGGTAAGACCCGAACCTGGTGAAAGCCGCGCTCCCTTCAGAAGGACCAGAGCGCTACCCTGGCACAAGGGGCAGCCTTGTTGTGGGAAACAGAGCTGGGCAGCTTTGATTTCAGCATCTTGGGTCATCGGGGCCCATTCCTCTGAGAGCGAAAAGGGACAGCTCGGTGGCTTTTTGTCAGGCTTCCAGGACTGAGCCGTGTGGGTGGGATCTTGGTTGTCTACACTCTCCATGTAAATTTTGGTGACGCCGAAGGACTCGAGTGGCAGAATGACCGCTTTTCCCTCCGGTTCTCTTCTCCTGAACTGACCAAGGATCCAATCCTGTGTATATTTAGACAGCAAAAGAGGCTACAGATCCCAGCATGCTGCAGCCTGCGAGGAAGTTGTGGGGCGTTTTTCCTAGCTAAGCACCCCTCGACTGGCACTCGCAGCGCTCTGCCCCCTTTCTGCGCCCTGTGGAGGACTCACTTTGGCCCTGCGCTCCATTTCCCCTTCTCCTACTCCCTCCCCGCTCTGTTTGCCTTGGCAAGCCTTCCAGGGCCTCGCTGGAACTACCCTGTCTTTTGCCCCCCAGAGCGCGCCCGAAGGTTTATCCCTGCCTTTTTGGTTGGCCGTTTCCGAGCCTTTTTCGCCTTCCTGGGGAAAAAGACCCCGTTTCTTTGCCCCATTCGCCAGCCTCTCCTGGAAAAGGAGCCTCGCTCAGTCCAGTCTGGGGGACACTACGGGGCGGGCAAGCAGAGATGGTGGGGGAGACCCTCCTCTTTTGGGGAAGCTCCCACTGGGGGAGCATGCTAAGCTCTCCCCTCTTTGGCAGTGCCTTCAGGAACGGGCTCCTGACGCACACGGACTCGCCTCTCCAGACTCTCGCACGGCCCTCTTCCCGTTTCTGTATTTCGAGAGGTGGAATCAGGCTGGCTCTGGGGGGGTCGGGCCCTGGGGCAGGGCCCCCTCCCCTGGCCCTTTCTCTCTGGAGGTCCCCCTTCTCTCCACTGTGGTCACCCGCGACTCCTGCTCCCCGGGATTGCTGCCACTCACTCGCCGGGGAGAGGGGCCCTTGCAGGGGGGCGGGTCTTTGGCAGGTGCCTGGTCACGCCCACCCACGGTGCAGTCACAGGTGGAAGAATCTCTCTCTCGTCCCAGTAGCCTTGGCAGGTATGGGCAGCCTAGTCAGCTCCAGGTGGGTCTGGACCATGCCACCTACCCATCCCAAACGCCATGGCCAGTGGGCAGGGATGATGGGATTTGCACTTCGACATCTTCTGGAGAGCACCAGCTTGCCTACCTCTGGTTAGGGGCTCTCAGGACTAGACCTGAAGTGTGCAGAATTGCGTCCTGCTCCCTTGGGAAGGAAGGCTTTGAATAATTCGTGGGTTGTCCTCCAGGCTTGTGCTTCATAGGCCCTAACCAGCTTTTGATCCCTCTTATGCGCACAGGGTGACCTTGGACCGTTTGGGGTTCCTGGAGAGCAAGGCCTCGTTGGTCAACGGGTGAGTAGAAATGCCACACAAGATTGAAGAAGCTGCTCGTATTCCGAGTGGAAGGCAGAGGCTGAGGTGGCTGAATGGGGTCACTGGGGCGGTGGGTGTGGGCTTGGGAGGACTCCGGGGGATGGTGGAGGGCAGGAGGGCCTGGAGGAATGCTGTCCACGGGGTCGTGAAGGGTCGGGCATGACCTAGCGACTAAACAAACCATTTCCTTAAAGTATTTTCATCCATTCCTCAGCCAAAATCAGCTGTCAGGGCAGTGTATACTCAGCTAAAAAGTCAATGCCTGCTTGCAGACTTACAGTCTGAAAAAGACGCCATGGACGAGGAAAAGGGAACGGAAGAGGCGATGTGGGCGTTCAGCAGTCCCGCTGGAACAGCTTTGCTGGCCCTTTCAGTTCCCGGGAGGATGGGGTCAAGCCCCACTGCAGAGGCCCCAAAGTCCTTGCCCCCGTCTCCTTGCTCCAAGCAAGGTGCAGGCGTCGCTGCAGGCTGAGAAATTGTGAGAGCCCTTTCGTGCTCTGGAGGGGGAGGTGAACGTTGAGGGCAAAGGGGGGTTGAAATCGCCGGAGCTCCCCGCTGGTCTGTCTTCATAGCTCACGGCCAGACTGGTTTCCCAAGGATGCACCAGAACGGCCCCACATGGGGCGAAGCGCCACTCTGAGGGGTCCTTTGGGGTGGCGGGAGGGGGGTGGTGGCTGGCATGACATGCGGCCATTTGTGGCCTCGCCTCGTTCCAAGGGAACAAAATGAAAGGCCACCGGCACAGAGGAGGGGCTTCCGCTGCCCTTGGAGGCTGGCGAAAATGAAAGGCTTTGGACACGGTGCCTCCTCAGAGCAGGATCTTGTCCACACAAACTCAGTGGCAGCTTGCGCAGCCCGGAGGGTGACATCTGGATGGCTCGGCCGATGGGGCCCTGCCGAGAGGCCACTGGCGACGGTCCCCCCGGTCCATCAGCCGCCCTCCTTCAGCCAGGGTTGCCACAGCCCAAGCGGCGGAGGGCAGACGGCTCCAGGCCTTGACTTCTGGGCTCCCGCTTTGAAGCACTCCCCTTCCTCAGTGCTTCAAGCGCAGCCTTGGAAATGCCTGGACCGCTTCTCAAGCCCTGCCTGAACCTGCCGAGTCCCAACACCCCCGTCTGTGTTTCTTTCAGGGTGACGCAGGCTTGGAGGGGGACAGTGGCCCTCTTGGACCAGATGGGCTGAAGGTAAATGCAGCTACTGCCTCACTTTTGCCGCGAGGAAGAATCTCGCTTGCCTCAAATCTTCATTCTCTGGGTGGAATTTTGAAAGCAGTCGCTTCCCTATACGCAGGATCTGCAAGAATGCATATCTGCTGCTTCATGATTGTGCAAGCTGATCCTTCTGTTCCAGGAAAAAGTCAAATCTATTCTGGAAAGGCCCATGACAGAACAAACGAACGATCCCATGCAGTGTATTCCAATCGTCCATATTTATGCTTTGCCGAGTTCCCGCCTGGCATCTGTGACTGGATGTCAGAGCACAGGAATTCCTGCTTCACCAGATGACGCTTTAATTTTTTGCTTTTTCCTGTATTTATTCCTGAATGGCTTATCCCCCATGCACAGCCAAAATGAGATGAATGCTCTTTGTTGAGGAAAGATGCTATTAAGGAGGGCTATTCTACACAACGCTTGTGACAGAATGAAGAGAGGAAGGGGGCAGAACCATTCCAGATGGGAGTGGGAACTGAATGCTCCCTGCATGTAGAAAATAAGCTCCTCGGGGGGGGGGGGGAAGAAGGAGTCTACCAAGATGTATTAGTTCTCTACCTGCAGGGATTTTTTTAAATCGTTCAATGCCATTCTTTTCTCCTTCTGCCTTAATCCTGTAGCATCCACATTGGTGGCTTGGTGAAAGTCTGAATGACTTGTTGGGCTCTTAGCTGCTGTGAGGAAACAGAACCAAGTCATGCATTTTACTCTTCCAGGGGGACAAAGGAGAAGCCGGCCCAGAAGGAGAAAGAGGAGAAAAGGGGCAGGAAGGCATCAAAGGAAAGGAAGGACTTCCGGGATATCCTGGGCCCACGGGTGTTCGAGTGAGTTTGCCAGATTCTCTGTTTTTTCTCTGCTGCTTAAGTGTGCAGGCATCTCTTTGGACAGTTTTGCATCTCTTCTACTCTGCAATGTGGAAATTATCTGAGCTCTGTTTTGGGCAATTTCAAATACCCTCCAGTACCCCCGAAGAAATCTGAATCCTCTTTCTACTTTTGGGTGCATCATTTTGCAATTATCTGACTCCCCCTTCCTCATGGTCTTGAGAAGCTGCCAAAACGCTCATCATCCCTTTTTTATTTCTAGATTTTGGACACTCTTTGCACATTGCTTTCTGCTTTCTTTCTGCCACATTACTATGGTCCTCACAAGCACTGATAAATTACTGTAAGAAGGAACCATTTCTATCCCGTTCAGCCCTTCATTCAGAACCAAGAGGACTAGAACCTTGTGCAGTTATGCAGATGAGTGGGTCAAGGTTTCGGTTTTCTTTTTTGTGTACTGTTGTGTGGGTGCACAGATGCGCACATGGGGTGCTGTAAAGGTGCTGGATAAATGCACTTTACACACACACCTGTTGGGATTCCACAGCAGCCTCTCAAATTTCCAGATGTGCTCAGCTTTCCCAAAACGTTGGGACTTTTGCATTAAATGGACAGGGCCAACCTGCACCTGGATGCTAAATCTATGCAGCTAACTTGTTCTCCTTGAACAACACAAGCTTGTCAGCTGCCAGTCAGCAGGCATGAAATTGATACCTGGAGAGAGTGAAGCGAAATTCCACATGAAAGATCCAGACTTTTCCTCCAAGGGGAAGAGCAGCTTAATTGGAAACACATTATGTTATTGATTCTATAGGCTTTTAGACTATCCGGTCACTGACCTTCTGCGGTACAGGTAAATTCACCTATTTTGTACAGGTTGAAAAATGTAGCATTTATTAATTAATTATATTTTTGAGCTGCCAAATAGTTCAAAAGACTCTCTAGGCAGCACACAACAGGCAAAAATTAGAAATATACCGCAAAGCATTAAAAACCATCCTTAAAATACAAATAACGAATTCATAATAAAAAATAATTTAACAGAGTCGTTCTACAACATGGCAAGGTGAACCTGACAGCTCTAAAGTCACTAAAATTTCAATAAAATGTAAAACATCTAAAATCAATCCTTGAGAGACGCTTGAAGTGGATGGCATATAAAAGCTTTAAATAAGCAAATAAATAAATAAGATCGCTATTAAAATTAGAATGGGTGGAGGAGCTTTTGTGAAGTAGAGCTTACTCTGTGGGTGCAGAATTTTCTTTTGCTGAACAAGAAAGGAAGGCGGATGGGGGAAATGCTTGGGGGAATCTCCGTGACACAGGCCCTTGTTGCCCAGAGTACACCCGTGGCAGGATTCTTCCCTCTTGGTCAGGCACGGCATTTGCCTGGGAACTGGGTGGCTAACAACCCCCCTTCCTGCCACCCTACTCCTCTCAGTCCCTTCCCGCAAAGCAGAATCTCCAGTCTTCAAAACAGCCCTTCTTGTATGAGTGGCATCCAGTTATCCAGCATTAGACTGGGCCTGATTCTGCAGCCCTCGTGCAGAGCAACTGCATGCCTTTTAAAAAAGAAATTATGCGTAATGGAGCCAGGGCAGGTTTGCCTGCTTGTAATCCCTTCCTTTGGTTGCTCTTGACTGTGGGGTTCTGGCACTGTCTCGTATTTTTAACATGCTTTTTTATATATCCCCTTCTTTTGTGAAAACGGCAACACACAGAGAGACTAAACATCAGCCCAGGCGGGACCCGGAATAACGAGTGGAGACTTTCGGCCCCGCAGATGCGATCATGCTTGCCAGGCCTGGGCCCCATTTTTCACCCTGCTTCCTATAACCCCCACCCACCTGGTCCCCTCCTCCTGTCATTTCTGTGCCCTGCCATTTCCAAGCATTTTTATCCAGGGTGCCCATTTCTGATGCTGGACACCCATCGAAAAGCACAACCTCGTTTCCCCTGCTTTTCCAGCATTCGGAGTAGTGGGATCATTCAGAGGATGGGCCCCAGCGCCGTCCTGATGGAGACCCACTGCCAGTCGGGGGAACGATCCTGAGCAATAACGGCAATGATAGCAATAGCATATGCCACACGTGCGGAAGCCTGGGAGAGAGCTTTGCAAGGGGACTGGGGCGAAGGCAGCGTCACACGTTTCTGCCAAGACCCCGTAGCAGATGAGGGTGGGCAAGCCAGGGCCCCAGCGCTTGCCCGTCTCCACCCGGGACTTCAGCCCTGCTTCACTTTCCCAAAGGAATCTTCCCTAATGGCAGCTCCCTTGTTCCTGGCGCCAGAAGGACCAGAGCATGTGCCCAGCTGCATCTCTTTGTGGCCCGTGTCCCTGAAGAGCCGGTGTCTTCCTCTCCCGCTCTCCCCATAGTTGAGGGGAATGCCAGGTGCACCCCAGTGATCCTGGAAGGGGCCAGGCTGGGGAAAGCCGAGCAGAATGGTGCTCAGTAACGGGAGCAACAGACACGCCAGCTGAAATTCGGGGGTGCCGAGTCACAGAGTTCGGGGGGAGGCTTTCTCGGTGCCTTTTCTGGAGTAAACGGGATGGAGCCGAGTTCGCCCAGGATGCGCCGCTGTTTGCAGCCTGCCTCTCTTCGCCCCGCGCACTTCTCCGTTTTAGCGCACCGTCCAAACGGCCGCGGCGGCTCGTTCAGTCACGCGCCTGCGGTCAACGCGGCGCAAAGGTTCCATTATTTAAAGGCCCGTCCCGTTGCCAAGTGCCGTGTACAGCCAGACAGGAGCGGTGTTTCACCAATCCCATCCAGTAGACAGGCCTGTATTTTGTGTTATTTATTTCATTTTTGAACACCCCCCGTTAGCTGCATGGCACCGAAGCCTTCACTTCCTTCCTCCGCGTGGAACCTCCGAGCCAAAGGTTGTGCGGCCAACTGGCAGAAAGAACTGGGCTGACGGGTTTTCAATTGCTCTCTGTTGCTGAGCACTGCGGTTTCTCATAATATGCTGTCCGTTGTATGCTGCAAATATGAAACAGCAGAAGTTTTACAGTTCCAGGAAAGTAATTGTGGAGTTTGTAGGTAATGAAGTACAACTTGCCCAAGAAAATGAGCATCCCTCTTTTTTACAGCAAGGCAAAGAACTCAGCTTTCCATTTTTAGATGATTCTCTCTCTCACTCTTTCTCTCAGCTCAGTTTTCTAAGGTATGTTTTTAAAGCAGATGGGCTTCCTTTTCAGATCCCTTCTGAGTCCTTTTTATTATTGTGAAAAGAAAGAACTTGGGATTCGAGCAATTTATTGTATTATTGGATGGCAGCATGTGAGACCCATGCTTCTGTGCTGGTCTGTAGGAAATTACCCATGGTCTTGCCATGGCGCCATAGATTACCCCCACATATGGGGCATGGAGGGGCTGTGCCCCTGGAAGACGCTGGCTCTCGTCTCCATCTGTCCGGAAAGCTCGCTGGGTGAGTTTTGGCCGGTCCCTCCCTCTTGTGGTTGTGGCTGTGAGGATAAAATGGTGCCATGCAAGCTTCCCCACAGGAGTAAAAAAAAAGGGGGGGGGCTGTAAATACAGGACAATCATCACTATATCCCCCCCACCCACCCACCGCCTTTTCTCTGCAGTGGAATCAGAGAAGCTCACAGTTCGAGTCGTTAGCGGAAGCTTCTCCTTTTAGGGTTGGAAAAATCTCCGCCTGAACCACCAGTGAGTCCTGCTGCCGATCCGTGTTGGCAACATTGACTAGATAGACAAGGACCTCACTGAATGCAGGGCAGCTTCCAATGTTCCTTAGCTCACCTGCGGTTTCGTATGACGCCTGCCTTTCATTTTTAGAAGTGGCTTGCGATCAGCTGGCAAACCAGGATCAGGAATGAGTCGACCAAGTGCGATCTCTGCCCCAGTGGCGCTGTTGCTCTGCCCCTGCTAACCGCTGTGCTTTGGAATCAGGAGTGCCCAAGAATGGAGGGTGAAATCAGCTCTCATTTATGGCTCGCCTCTCCGGATTCGTCCTGCTTTCCCTGATGCTGCAGTTTTGGAGGAAAAATCTGATTCCCAGATGCAGTGGTCTGATCTGGGGGCTAGGCTAGGTGTGAACTGGCAGGGTGCTGGGAACTGTGCTCAGCCTACCTCACAGAGCGGTCGGCCAGAAGGAAACAGCCCCGCTTTTGAAACGTTGGCCAGAGCTAACCTTGGACTTCAGGTTAGGCACAGTTAGCAAAGAAATTGAATCAGGAAAGGAATTTAAAATGAAACTGCCAATATCATATTGCCCTCACATAAAGCTACAGTGTGACCACATTTAGGATAATATTGCACAGCGGGGAAACTGCAGGAAAGGGGAACTAAAACTATCAGGGGTTGGAGCAGCTCTCCTGCAGAAACGTTGCAACATCTGGGGTTGTTTAGCTGTCCGAAAGAGGGTGAGTTAAGAAAAGGAAAATTAAGGAAAAAATATGAATGAGTGTGGAGATCGTGGACAAGGAGTTATTTTTCTCCCTCTGCATAAGTCTAGACCAAAGTGAGGTCATCCCGTGAGGCTGACGGGTAGGAGATTCCTACCGGATGAAAGGAAAGACTTCTGCATACGGCACAAAGTTAAACCGTGGAACTTACTGCCACTAGATGCAGTGGTAGCTACCTATTTGGATGGCTTTTTTAAAAAAAGGGGAGGGGGCAAATTCATGGAGGATAAAGCTATGAGCAGCTACTGGCCCTCTTGGCTATATGCTACTGGTAAACTATCGCTCCTTTACTTTGGTTACTCCTGAACCCTGAATTTCTGCAAACGCCTCTCTTTGGGTCTTGGAATAGACCACTAGGCACTGAGACCCTGTTTTTGACTGCTGCTGGGCTGCTTGAGTTTATTTCTACTAAGATCTCTGGTGGAGTATTTCTGTTGGCGTTCTACTGCCATAAAAGAGTCCATTGTTTGCCTTCGTGCATTTGGTTGCTGGCGTTTTGAGGGAGTCAAAGTTTATCTAGAAATTCAGACCACATCCCAGCTAAGTACGGCTTGGTGAAGAGTCTGAATTCAGA